TTGAGGATTCAATGGGACGAACTGCAGGGTTGTAATCTAGCAGCCCAGACTCGAGCAGTAGCTTGTCGGTCACCAAGGTTCCGACCTTCCTACCCCTCGGAAAATGCTCCTTGTAATATTTCAACGTGTTGAAGGAGGCTTGCGTAAGCTCGGGGACTGGTCGGATTGAAACTGCACGAAGACAAAATCCAAGTTAGACCTGAATGACAGGAAAGAAAATCACAAAAGGTAAGAACTACTCCGTACCTAGGTTCCCAAACCTAGTGGGAACGTCAAAGAAGGAACAACCTGACTCGTCCTTTGCAAGCCATTCTCCAGAAGCGTAGAACCATTTCCTCACCCATCCCTTGATGGAGGTCGGCCCCTTAACTATACCGCCTGCGCCTTTCCTTGCGCACATATAGAATCGACCAAGCTTCTTAGCTATCCTTTTCGCTTCGAAGCACGCGAGGAGCTGGTCTACGTCCAACAGCTCGGCCTCTTCACTATCCCGAGCTCGTAGCCAAAAAAGGATGGCCAAAGCGAAAATGACACCCCACCCATTGGGGGCCACTTGAGCCGGAGCCAGCTCAGTTCGGAAAAGAAACTCTTGGACGAAAGGATGAAGGGGAAGTCTGAGGCCGTACTCAAACATTTTGAAGTAGAGAGTGACCCATCCCTCTGGAGGATTGTCAGCTCTCTCCCCCTCCTCCGGAATCCTAAGGAGGATGTTCTCAGGGATAGCGAACCCCCTACGAARGGATCCGAGGTAGTGCTCAGGTATCCTAGAAGGGTATTCYAAACCCTGACCCGAGGTGGAGGCATCACTATCCTCCCCGTCATCGGAGAACCTAAAGTTTTCTATCTCCTCGAGCTCGGACTCTAACCTACGAGCTAAATCCTCATCGGATCCTAAGTTGCTGCTAAAAGAGGACGACATGRCAACTACGTTCGAAAGAGAAAGTGAGGGAAGAGACCGACCTACCAAGGGTTCGAGCTGCCTTCAAATCGAACTCCAAGAATTTAAGAAACGTAAGGTATGACCTGAAGGGTTGGGGGTATTTATAGCTTGTCGGAAAATTTTCCCACCGTACACGTGTAATCAATGAGTGACTAGGATCCTCCTGGAGATCCGAAGCGTCGGAATATTTGAATATTCCGATGATAAATCCACCGCAACGTTTATGTTTTCCCACGAATAGGGAGTCGCCACGTGTCCGAAGCAAATCAAATGAACTTCTCTGCCAGGTCGGGATYGRACCWGACAAAGAGGGGGCCAATGTTTGGGGGAAAGAATACCCTGGACACGTGGAGGACAGYCATTGGTGCCCCAAGGTGACCATGAGTCATGCCTCAGCTCGGACCGCCGAGATCACCACCACTAGCGTTGACAGATGCTAAGTATGAGGGCCGAGGTGAACCTGGTCGAGGTCCGACCTACCGGGAAGCTCGGTGGGGGCCGATGTGAGCTACTGTCAGCAGCGTGATTATCGGGTATAACCGTCGGTCCCGTGATTATCGGGTGTAACCGACGGTCCCGAGATTACCGGGTGTAACCGTCGCGAGATTAGCGGGACTACCACCCATAAGTAGAGGACTTCACTCCACGATCAGGTACGATGATTTCTGACCTCGAACTAAACTGGGAATCCGACCTGTACTGACTTGATTGTCGGAGTGCTCACCTTTTTGTACAGGTCCGCCCAAGTATTCAGATCGATCCGGAGGCCGAGTTCGAGCTGCAATCTGAAATACACTGTTGTGCATATCCTTACATAAACATGCACAATCACAGAAAATCTTATGAATTTTTCACCCCCTGGACTGTTTAAGAAACAATGATAAAAGCAGAAGCTATGTTTTTTAGACCAATATTACCTGAGAGATGGTGTATTCTGCTTGTTGTCTTGCATAAAAGCCTTCTGATGGATGAATTTTTCCAATTAGAGGCAACACTTCTGTAGCTGAAAGGTACCTGAAAAGAAGCGAGATGATGTACGGTATGGTGTAGAGAAATCACTGAATCATTTACCGAAAAGGTGTATATCAGAAGAACGTTTTACCCATCATTGTCTGTGTCAAGCTTAGAGAACAACTTTTTTGCTGGTGCCTTTGTTGGATCATCATCCTGATGTGATGAACTGTGATCTTCATCGTCATCTCTTCTTAATAAGTCAAAAATTCCATGGAAAAACTCACTGAAGTCGAGCTTTCCATCTTGGTTGGTATCTCTTTCCCTAAGAGGTTACATTACGAAGTGAGCAGTCAGTGAAATGTTGGTGTAAAACTCGATCAATTCTAACTTCAAATGCAAGAGAAGATCTCCAAACCGAGAAGATCGAAACAAGCATTAGAATCTAATAATCTAACGCCTTCCTTGCCTTGTGTCTAACTACCTTGCTAATATGCTTTTTGCGGAATTACAGTAACAGTTGAAGTACAGAGAGAAATTGCAGGAGACCAATTTTACATAGGGAACAAAGGCTTTAGAAACTGTATGAAGGAATCTACCTTACTTCATCTGCACACAGCCAAAGAAGCAGCTTTGGATTCTTGCTGTCAGCAGGATGCAAGAAGCTGAAAATGAGTAGATCGCGGAATGTATAAGTATCGAGTTAGAGAAAACGATTAAAAAAAAAAAACTCTTTTTCTAAGCATTTTCAAACAGAGGGTGAGGGCGAGGGCAAGGGCGGTATAAAAGAGACATGCTGAAGTTTTTGAAGCTTACTCATTGAATTCAGTTGTGTTCAAAAGGCCATCCCCATCTGCATCTGATGCATTGAAATGCTCCTCTTTCCACCAGGCAATATCGTAGCCAAAAGAACTATTACCTGATGAAAAGATTGAAAATGAAACATAAACAACACAGTAGGTATCTTTAAAAATCTTCCATAAGAAGAAGAAGCTGATCCGCTGAGGGGGCATTTGGCTTGAGTAACAAGGATTACGAAGCCTATATATTTGGTATATGGATTTGCTTATTCCGAACAATATAATTGTTAATGTTATAAGATACGTAAATATAGGATTATAAAACCTACCTTTTATATTATAGGTTAGACTATTTACAAATCATAAACCCGAAATCAAACAATATATAGTGACACTTTCTAAATACAAATAAATAAATAAGAGAAGTCAGAAACCCACTCGTCGAACAAGACTGCACTTCCAAAGAAAATGAAAAACAGGTTTAACTTATTTCTTTGTACAATCCAAATACATGGTACACAAACTCATGTCCACCCATATTTGTCCTGTGGGTGTAACAAGCTGGGGTTTATTGGACAAACCCATAAGTTTCATTTTTCTTTTATTTATTATTATTATTTTTTTTTATAACAGAGGAGCAACACCCACGTCTCTCCCAATGTCCAGACTCAAGAGACATCAAAGAATTTTAGTATTAATTTCAAGAGACCTCTGAACCACTATGATCAAGAGATCCAAATCCTTGCCAACTGGTCCATCCCATGAGTTTCAATGATACTACAAATCTACTCTCCCAATATCCCACTATTTTCCCACACAAATTTTCTGAACCCAGACTCCCTAAACCTCAATGTTTGTCAAAACTAGACTTAAATTGCGAGAGAACATGTCACAGAAGCTCAGACACAAACAATATCCACATCCACCACACTTGTCTAAGCCAGAGGTAACATTCTGGTTCAAAAAGTGGATTAAAAATATACCATATGATACTTTATTGGGAAAGTGAAGGACAAAAGATAGTATAACTAGAATATAATCCAGCAAGCCAGAAAACCATTTTTACAGAGGGGCCAGAAAAATTCAAAAAAAGCGCAGAAAGGCAGATGCAGAAGATATGTATGTAACGTACCGGCGGCAAGAACCCAGCTGGGGGGCTCGTACTCGGCGAAGGAAACGAAGCCATCATGATCCTTATCGTGAGATTGCATTTCCCTTTCAGAGCGATGCAGCGTCTCCCTCATCGCCTGCTGCAGGTTCCACCGAGTCAATTCGTCCACAGACACGAACCCATCGGGCGGGTCCACATCGATTTTGGGGAACAGCACGAGCAGCCTCTCGCTCACATTGAACCTCTCCTCGTCGTTAATGAACTCTTCCCACTCGGGCTGGGGCTCGGCGGGGGGTGCCGATTCGCCGTCGGAGAAATCAGGGCTGGATTGGGAATGCTCCATCTGCTGGTGCTTCTCCCACTCCTTGTCCTCGCGGCGGAGGACGATGTCGGCGATGAGAGGGTCGAAGGGGATGTGGTGGTCGTGCTGCTGCCGGTGGAGAGGGGGATTGAAGGTGAAGTTGGAGCGGAGGCGGAGGCGGCGGTGGCGATGGGCGGTGGGGCGCTTTGTGGGGGTGTGATTGATGAGGAGAATGATAAGTGAAGCGATTGCTAAGTAGATGAAGAGGGAAACTCTGCCCATTTTAGGAGATCGGGTGATGAAATGCAGAGAGAATGAAGCAGAGCTTGAGCTTTGATCAATGGAGAATTGAAGCAGATTCAATGGATTCTTGAGTTTCGATTTGAATAAGCTATGAAGTTTGTGTAGTTAAAAATTTTGATTGGATAAATTTGCGTTGTATGATTTGATAATATCTGAGGAGATCGGCGAAATCCGGCTACGAACGACGAAAAAACACCCGCTGAATAATTGAACTATATATCATATATATATGTGTTTCTGGCAGCTACAAATTTGATGGAATCTATAAGTTATTTATTTATTTACTTTAAGAGGTCAATTTAGATATATATATTTTTTATTTTGATAAAATCAAATTTAGAGAAAGTTATAATTTTTTTTTCCTAATTTGGATATGTTACGTTTGCTCAATAATCTTTTAGATGAGATACCGATTATTTATTTATTTATTTTAAGAGGTCAATTTAGATATATATTTATTATTTTGACAAAATCAAATTTAGAGAAAGTTATAATTTTTTTTTCTAATTTGGATATGTTATGTTTGCACAATAATCTTTTAGATGAGATACTTAATTGAGGCGGACTATTTAAGCCTATTCTAAAAATTCTAAGACCAAAATTGCATGATTTTTAAATATAAGTTTGGACTTGTTTTATATTTTTGTCGTTGATTTTAAAAAACCATTATTTTTTGTTTTTGAGATTTAAATTTAGTTTCAATTCGGTCCTTAGAATTTCCAAAGTAACATGTTTAGTATTTGATCAATAATTGGTTCCTGAGCTAATGACATTCTTTGTATTTTTTTTTTCCAGAGTACAACATGTTGGGGAGCTAATGACATTCTTTGTTCTCGTTTGTATAAGTAGCAAAGTCTAGTCAATATAGGTTAATTGTCGCGTCATCGTTTCGTTAGGCCAGCTAATAATTAACTCAATTCAAGTTTATATACCAATGAGTTCAACAGTAATTAACACTAGAAGTTATTTATTTATTGTACTAAAAAAGTAACTTAGTTATCAATTAGAAATCAAATTCTGAGATGAATTAAAAATTAAATTCAATTTAGAGATGAAATAAAAATCAAGTAGATTAGGGACAAAATTACATTTTACCAAAATTTATTTTTTATCCCATTGGAAAGTTTTTTTTTTGTTTTTTTTGGAGTTAATTGAAAAGCACAATTATTCACAAACAAATCGAAAACCCCAATTCTCTAAACTTTTCTGTAATTAATTTTTGGAGTTAATCGAAACCAAAATTTGGTAGCAAAGCAAAAACTTGACCCTCTTTCTGAATTCATGTTTTGGGATCAGTTTTATTGGAAACATCAATTCTTCACGGACGCCAATGAGTAGAATTTGGCTTTGGCCCTCTCTCTCTGCAACTGCTTTACAGTTGCCCATCTCCTGTTCCATTTATTTGGTTTTCAAACAAGGAAATCGAAAGGAAACCATAAATTTCAATCGCCCGTTTCTTTTTGCTGCTTCTTTCATGGATTTCTTGTTCATTTTTCATCGAGATTTGCAGATTCTGTGCCTTTCTAAGGATGTCCGAAGTTTCTGTCCCTATCAGCTGTCCTAAGTAGTCGTGGGGTATGGGACCAGAAGACCCATCACCGCTCCTCTTTCTTGAAGTTCAGTAAAACCCATCATCGTCGCTTATGATTTCTCCACCTACCTTGTAAAAATCTACCTAATCAGGGCCCCATCTCAATCTAATCTTTGTTATTTTCATTTGAATCCCTCATTCCTCCGTTTGAGTTCGTCCTACTCTTAAGATACTTCCAAGTTCCAACCAACTTGCTTTTATTTTGGTTGCAGTCATTATTTTCATCTAACTTTCACTGGGTATATGTATTTAAGGCTGGAGAAAGTAAAAAAAGGGGGGGGGGGTAGTCAAAGTTTTGATTCTTACCCATTTAGATACGGCGTTTTTTATCTTTATTCATTGTCGGTATGGATTGTGGTGGTGAAAATTGCGTAGGATTGGTAATAATTGAACATTTTCGTGTATCATGTGTTTAGTGTATTACTTTTAACAATCACTCATTGAGATTTGAAAAGTTAGGGGGAGCACTTTCAGGGGTTTCCCTCAATCTAGGGGTTGAAAAACCAGGCGCTTTTCTCTATCATTTCTGACTGTTCTTCAATGAGAAAGTTGTTGAGTGGTTTTAATTAGTTCATCTTTTGATTGGAAAGTTGAAAGCACATGGGTTTTATTTTATTTTTCTTTTTGATAGCTAAAATCCATGCTCTGAAGGGATGTTACCCAGCTCTTGGATTTTGAAGCTTTTCATCTCACCTTTGCATCTTTCTCTCTTTTCGCTCTCTGATTCTAAATCCTATCTCATAATAAAATGTAAGCTGTTTGTAAAATACTTGAGCAGCAGAAGACGACAGAGCATATGGAGGTAGTTGGCTTTTGTCTGTCATAGTAGTTTTAAGGTTCATGAAAGTAAGAATCTTTTTGTAGAAATTTTATGGTTTGGACTGTTATAAGCTGTTCTTGTCAACTTGTGCGATGATAATTGAGTTTTTGTTTGCTCTTGAATTTAGTATGTAACGTAATACTCTTCTATCCTACAAAGATTTCTGGATCTTCTTTGTTTGGTATCGGTTGTTCTTCTGAAATTTCACTATCATGATACGAAATTCTCATTCGAATTGATTCTTCCAATGCCCATCACAATACATCTTTTGCTTTCTTTTGAAAATTGATATGTTCTCTTTCTTTTCCATGGTTATCAGAATTTTCTCATGCAGTCATGCTCCAATTAACTCCGTTGGCTTTTTGTTCCTTGATAGGTCAGCTTCACCTGAATCCAGCTTTTGAGCTGTGGAGTAAATCGATTTTGAAATCTTCTCATGCTTTTTCTGAGTTCCATCATTATTATTATTATAGGAGAATTCCAATTCAACTGCATTATTATTTTCTTTTTCCATTTAAAAACCTCATTTCCTAAATCATCCCTCTGGCAATGTATTTTAGATCATAGCAGATCTTCATAGATTTGTTTGTTCTTTCTTTGTGGGAAAATTTGGACAAATAAACACAAGGCTAGATGACAGTGGATAAAGACGGTAAGAGCTCAATTTGGAGCCAAGAGCAGGACAAGGCATTTGAGAATGCTCTAGCCACTTATCCAGAGGATGCTTCATATCGTTGGGAGAAAATTGCGGCTGATGTACCTGGGAAAACGCTAGAAGAGATCAAATATCATTACGAGCTGTTGGTCGATGATGTTAAACAAATTGAATCTGGCTTCATTCCTCTCCCCTCCTATAGTTTTTCTTCTGATGATAATAGTGAATCTCGTGTTGGAAGCAAAGCTTCAAGATCAGACCAAGAGCGTAGAAAGGGGACTGCATGGACAGAGGACGAGCACAGGTAAACTTTTAATCTTCGAGTTTATTTTCTAACTTCTATTGACAGATGAATTGTCAAGTGTCTAGGATGACGCAAATTCAACTTTTTCTAAGTCATTATAATAAATATAAATAGTGATTATTTGCTTTAGTCGGCAATTTGTCGATAAAGCTGTATGGCATGCTGAATTGTGCCTGGCTTTCCTTATGTATGGATGCATATTAGCTTTTGTCATCAACACTGATTATTAGCTATAACCTTAATTTCTCCATGGTCAACAAATAAGAACACTGTGTCTCTTTGAGGTCACTATTCTAGTTTGGAACCCTTATTATTATAAGTTTCAAAGACATGGATTTCTGCTTAAGTACCATGTTACTCCCTTGGTTGTTGATGAAGACAGGTCATTTAAAGAATAATGAATATGTTTAACTTAGGCTTATGCTCAATAAATGAGGGGCCTAGCAGGTTCATTATTTCTTGGCTTGTAATAGGGAGTGTAAGGGGGACGTTGGAGGAGGTGATCCTCTGCTCATTTTGGGGAGAGAGGGATACTGTTGTGGCAGGCTTGTTTATTTTGCTATTTTGTGGAGTATGTAGATTGAGAGAAACGGTAGAATTTTTAAAAGGATTGAGAGATCTTGGGTTGAAATTGGGGAGCTAGTTAGATTTACTACCTCTACGTGGGTGTCAATTTCTAAAACTTTTTGTAATTACCATTTTTTTTTAGTATAACAATTTGGGGATATGGGGGATTGAACCTCCGACCTTAAGGAAAGGAGTACATGCCAATTACCGCTGAGCTATGTTCATGTGGGCTTGTAATTACCAATTAAGTGTCATTCTTTTGGATTGAGTCTCTTCTTGTAGGTTGGTCCTCCTTTGGCAGGCTTGTTTTTGCATGCCCCTTGTACATTTTTTTGGTTATCCTCAACGAAAGAGGTTTCTTATAAAAATAATAATAATAATAATAAATGTGTCTGTTTTGATTCTATCTTTAATTTTCTTTAATGCGTTGATTTCTTATTCTTGACAAGAAAATTTTTACTGATGAAGAAACCTTTACTAGCTGTAAATAGACTATGAAATAAGAATAACAAAAATATGTGGTAAGCTCATTAAAACTACAATGGAAATAGGGCGTCAAAAAATTTTCCATCTCTCTTCTCAACTCTCATCCTTTCGGTTCTATGGTTTCCACTTCAAGTGGATTTGAATACCAAGATACCTTCTCGGGCTTTGATCATCAACCCTTATGGTTACCTGGACAAAACCAGTTTTTTTAGGAGTGGTTAGTTAGAATCACATTGAATTCTTTATTAATGGTTCATAATCATAGCAATTGTGCTGCTATCTTAATCTTATCATTGTACTTCATTAGCCATTGAGCTTTACACGTTCATGGAATAGATATCCCGTATTCTCATTCTTTTTTTTTGGTCTAATTAGAATTTGGAGGTAGTTCCTGTATGGATTGTTGGAACTGGAATACAACATGGGCAAAGTAATGTTGCTCAAGTACATAAACTAAAACAGACACAAGATAGAATAGGAGAAAAATGTTTGGTAGGAAGTTCTTTGGGGTTCGCCTTGCACACGAGAGTGTAGCTCGATGTTGGAAGGAGGCTCTCCATCACCCTCCATTTAGAGATAGGGGTCAGTTTTTGTGGTAGGCCGGTTTCTTTCCTGTTTCTCTATGGGGTTTGTAGAATGAGAGAAATAATGGGATCTTTTGAGGAGTTTAGAGATCCTGAGAGGAGTTGTGGGCCCTTGCTCGGTTTCATATTTTCCTTTGGGTATCAATGTCCAAAGATTTTGTAATTACTCATTAGGTTTTGATCCTACTTGATTTGAGCCCACTTTTAGTTTAACGGCTTTAATTGAGCTGGTTGTTTTATGCCTTCTGTATTTTTTCATTCTTCTCAGCTCGGCTTTTCATCATTTTTTTATATAAAGAATGAAATTGGAACCCCAAACCCAGGAAGCTCACAAAAAATTCTTCCAATTGGTATTAGGATCGCATAAATTATAGCTGTTGGAAGGAGCGTATAATTTACACCACAAAAGAGCTAAATTGTATTAATCTTCTATTAGTTCTCTTTTCTTAGATGCGCTGAATTTTACTCAGATAATTTACTAGCTATATTCCGGGCTTCACTAGAAAACTATTCAGTTGAAATTCGTCTTCCCCCCTCTCCCATCATCTAGCTTATCACATGTGTAAGGCTTTTGTTTGTTTGTTCTTTCACCATTGGTATATTTTCAGGGTTTATGATACTCTAGTCTTATTGTGCATCTCATGATTGACAATAATTATTAGTATGTAAGTAAATTTTGGGATCATACCACCCAGGCTTTACTTTTAGCATTTTTGATACCAATCAGGCTATTTCTTCTCGGTTTGGATAAATATGGGAAAGGAGATTGGCGAAGTATGTCTCGGAACTTCGTGGTGACGAGAACACCCACTCAAGTGGCCAGCCATGCCCAGAAGTACTTCATTCGTTTGAACTCGATGAACAAAGACAGAAGGCGCTCGAGCATTCACGATATCACTAATGTTGATAACAGAGATTTAGCAGCACCTCAAGGACCAATTACTGGTGAGGTCAATAATTCTCAAGGATCTTCTACCATCAAATCAACCAAACAACCTCCTCAACCACCTGCTGGGCCATCCGTTGTCGGGATAGGAGTGCCCTTTGTGTCGGCAGTTGGCACCCCAGTAAATACTCCTCCACCACATATGGCGTATGCAGTCAGATCCCAGGTAATTGGTTCATTAGTTCCTAGACCAGCAGTAAATATGAGCCCGATGACATATTGAATGTCTCAAGGATCTGCTGAAAGGTAATAATACTCTGTTCAGGCATAACTTATCTAATCCTCATCTGTCATTTGGTATGTTGTTTCATTAGATTGGGTGCCTTAATTAAGGTCATAAGGATTACAAATTCTGTAAAGGGGACCCCCCACCCCAAATTTTTTTGGGGGGGTAAGAAAGCATTGAGTTGCCCTTCTGTTTAAGAAAAAAATCCCCTCCATGAATGATGTATGGGATTCTTCACTTTATCAAATTGTTGCTTCTGGTTTCTTTTCCAACAATTTAGTCAGAAAGAAAGTTGAATGAGATGAAAGTTTGCAGCTGTGGGGTAACTCCCCAAGAACTTGAGGAATTTGTAGGGTAGGGTGTCCTTAAAGATGCCTTTAAACCTTCTTTTGTGCAACTTGCTGAATTCAGCCATATTGAGGACAAAGTATAAGAATTTGAATTGGTAAAGATGACCCTAAAAACTATGGCTTTTTTTACATGTGGTATGTTTCTTTTGCACATGTAATCTTGGTGGAACCAAAAAAAGGGGCTTTCTGGCATCTTAAAGTTAACCAGCCAGCACTGAATGTCCTGTATGAATCATACAAATACCAAATCCTCTTGTAAGAAAGATGAAGGGATTCCATCATCATAAATAATTTGTATATGAGTCATAAATAACTTTGATTAGAAATATGTTTTGAAGACACCATTTTCAAATTTAGCAAAAGAGAGACCGAAGAAGTTCGATTGTTCAACGCTTTGAGTCCTCTCTCAGTTTGTTTCTCAATCGATATGCGGTGACTCACTCTCGATGCCAATGGAATCGAGCACTGTAATAATAGTACATTTAGTCGATTTCTCTTGCATACATTGTTCTATCAACCAAAGGCTATTAATCTTGAAGATCGAATGCAGTTGTTATGGGTATGACCGTGCTTACAGGAGGCACTCGGTTTATGTCCAATACCCTGTAATATACATTGCACTTTCACTCAGTAGATCCTACTAGATCTGATTGAGTCGTACTCATATTTCTCGAGGTCCCTACCAACATCTCGAAACTTCCTAGCATCAGTGTAACCACCATATATTTGTTCAAAAAATATTGTTGTCTTAAAATATTTTTCCACCAAACTTCAAAATCCACAAATATATATTCTTTAACATGTGTTTTTTATGATACGATGCACCTATATTCCATACGTGGCATGGTAAGTTGAACCCGACATATTTGAGTCATTTTGAAAGACGATTTGATTTGATGATTCACTTTTTCATGTCTAAAGCAACCCAAAAAGAAAAAAAAAGAACACCCATTTTTCCTTTGCCTATCTTTTTTTTGGATGAGAAAACAAAAACTCCATCTAGTTTTATCCTTGTCTCTCCATTTCCAGTTGATGATGACCCGAACATGACTCATAAAATCCCAGCCACAACCTTCTCCATTCATCTCCCTCCTTCCTTTAAATACCTCCACCCACTTCATTGTATGACCAAGGAGTTCTAGGCCAATTCACTAGTTCGATATGTCGAGTTCATATCAAGAACATATGATGGGAGTTCCGTTCAGGTCACTGGCCGCTCTGACACGGCGACGTCTCCTGCCTGATCATTCTGCAGCCAAGTTAATGGTGAAAGGACATGTTGGGTCCAAATCATTGAAACAATGTGAGAATTATTAGAAGAAGAATTCACCTTTTGTTTCTTTGAATGAACAAAATTCATTGATGGGTTTGGTCTGAAAATTGCAGATAATGGGAAAGATCATTCACTGAGAAACAGAGTGAACAAGCTTGGAAGAAAAGCTGACAGCTTTGCTCATGGATTTCGAGAGCACAGTAAGTGGACAATACTATGAAAATTTTGATTCATTTATTGTATCGGGTTCACTTATAGTTTCATCCTTTATCAACATTATAAGGATCAAATTTTAAAAGTTTAAAACTTTCTCGCCCTCTAACCTCTAGAGAGGATTATAAGCATTATAAGGATCAAATTTGTAATTTAACCCTTATAAAGTTTAAACCCTAGTTTTTGAGACCTGGGTTCGATTTGGTTTTTGACATTTTTGACATTGAAATTGCAGTGAGATTGGGGCCAAAGATCACAGAGACAGTGAAGGGAAAGTTGAGTTTGGGAGCAAGAATTGTGAAGGTGGGTGGATTGAGAAAAGTTTATGAGAATATGTTTAGAGTGAGCCAAGGAGAGAAGCTGCTGAAGGCTTCCCATTGCTATTTATCAACCACAGCAGGCCCAATTGCTGGCCTTCTCTTCATCTCCACTCACAAAATTGCTTTCTGCAGTGACAGATCCCTCAAATTCTCTTCTCCCAGTGGAGATCATATCAGATTCCATTACAAGGTCGGTTTCTAAAACACTCGCCATTTAGTTTCAATTTGGTCCCTATGATCACTGATGTTTTCTAGATGGGTAAAAAATGGTTTCGGGTCTCGTAAGAGGGACAAGTAGGGACCATGATCACCAAAATTCATTATTTAACCTCCATATGGTGAATTTGCAGGTTGTGATTCCAGTTGGGAAGGTGATGAGAGTAAATGAAAGTGTGAATGTGAAGAAGGCTTCACAGAAGTACATACAAATAGTTACAGTGGACAACTTTGAGTTTTGGTTTATGGGTTTTCTAAACTATAGAACAACTTTCAACTCTCTTCAGGGAGTACACACAGGACTTTGAATCAGGCTTTCCAATGGATATATATATATATATATATATATATATATATATGTATGTAATTTGAAGTATAAATTATTACTGATCTTGTGTACAGATTAATTCAATCTTAATGAGAAAATTTCCAGTTTGATTTGTGTCATAAAGTTATTGAAATAATTTTCTTGATGATGATACAAGATCAAGAATATACTTGAAGGGTGTATGATATCAATACTACTGAAGGAAGTTAAATAGTCAATTGAGTGAAGAATTTAATTTCGACAAAGTAAACAATAAATCGATTGCGCCGCGTCTCCTCTCCTTGAGAATGAGACTATGTTAAAGTAACATGTCGACATGTTTATCGATATATACATGTATCTATAGGTCTAACATCAACCTAAAGGGTAAATCGACATTTCCATATATTACAAAAAAAAAAAAAAATTTACTAATAGACAATATTAATATTAATCTTTTTTAACTTATTTAGAAATAGTAAAACGATTATTTGTTAATTTAAATTTTTTTCAATATCCATCTACATTGACATTTCTATCAACATCGACATTTAAAACTTTGGTACGTGATTTGACACAAAAGGGCAGATGACGGATTTATTTTTCTAATTATTTAATTTTTTAAACCGATAAAATTATGGAATAGAGCATGAGAGAGGATTGGGTGAAAATGACATAACCAACATTCAAAAGTTTAAGGGGTGAAGATTTGTGGAACACACAAAAATAAGGATTAGAAATAAAGAGAAAAAGAAAGAAAGAAAAAAGCAAAATTTAAAGTCTTCTTATATATTCATTTGGATATGATTTTGTCAATTTCTTTTTTTTTTAATTTTTGTTTTAGGTAAATCATGAATTTCTCTTTTGATTTTCCAATTTCCTTATGTAATTTACGTTAGAAAAAATGAAGCAATTTCATCGTAAAGCTAAGCAGCCACCTCAGAAAAAAGTCATAAAATCACACAGAATCACCCAACTTTCTGGAGAAAAAAATAACAAAATAAATAAATAAAAATAAAAATTGACGTCGGCCCTACTTTATTTATTTATTATTTTTATTTTTGAAAAGACATTAATTTTCTTTTTTCATGACGTTTTTCCTGAAAAATCAGCCAAACACAATTTGGGTTCATGCTTTCTATCTCTTTCTTTCCTTTTTTTTCTTCCCAAATTGATGAGACATGCAATGACTCAACATGTTAGGAATCAGGATAAATTCGCTATTTAAAAAAATTTAAGAAGAGATTCAATGAAAAAAATATAGTTGTATTATTTATTTTCATTAGATATGTATTTGGTAGCAAATTTGAAAATTTAATATCGTTTTAAAAAGTTATCCTAGACTAGTGTTAGTTGTCCACTTATTTAGTTCAATTTAAAATATATATTAATTAATATATTAAGATTTTTGTTATACATTTTGTAGAATTATTATTTCACAATATTATATAACTTATAATTTATTATATTTTACACATTTTATTTGTTAAAAGATAAAATGAGTTTATAACATGAAATAATATATTCATCAAAAGCTTTTATTTTTTATTTTTTTTATGTAATTCTACATTTTAAAGTTTCAAACTCAAAATTCTGAAAGCACTGAAATGAAACGTTGTTTTCAAAATTTTTATAATTTAGATCACAAAATCTAAAAACAATTTTTAAAAACAAATATGTCAAACACATTTTCATTGTGATTCGACAAATCTGAAAACAGGAAATAAAATTTGGATGACATATTGGACCAGCTCATAAGGTCCCATTATATAATTTTTTCATTTTTCATTTTTATTTCTTACAATTATATTTGATTTTTCATAATTTTTTGGTATATTTTCTCCCTTCTATTAGAAACACACCAAATTAAAAATTAAAAAAAAAACCCTTTTTAAAAACTCACGTTTTATAGTTTTCAAATTTCAGTTTAGATTTTAAAAATATCTTAAAAACGTAAAGTTGAAAGTAGCAGTTCTAAGCTTAATTTTGATGAATAGAAAACACAAAAAATGTTATCAAACGGGACTTAAATTACAATTTTTTTTAAGATGGTGTGTAATAAGTTCTTGAACTTTATGAGACAGATTAATAAACTTTCAATTTTGTGTATAATAATAGGTTTTTAAACTTTGGCCATGATCAACTTTAAACTTCGTGTTTAATATAGGTTCATAAGCATTAAAAAATGTATAATAAATCAAGATCTATTATATCAAAAATTCAAAATTCAAAATTTCTATCACTTTTGTAAAACTCAAAAGTTGTTGCTATATTATAAATAGAACAAATATTTTAGCTACCAAATTTTCTTTATTAAACGAATAAAAAATGTACTGCCTAACATATTTCTATTTTCTATCTGATGTGTAGGCAAGTTTTGTTTTTATAAATCCAACACATCTTCTTATAAGGATTAAACCAAGGTTTTAAATATCGATGTCGATGGAAATGTCAAGATCTCAATTTTATGAAAATATCGATAAAATTTTGATATCAATGAATATTTTTGTAAAAGTTATAGAAATTTAAAAAATTGTAAAAAATATTTAAATTAACAAATAAATATTTTCATATTTCTAAACAAGTTAAAAAATAATTAATATTAATATTATGTATATATTAGTGATATTTTGTTGATATTTTTCATATTTTGTCGATTTTTTTATAATAGGATGGAAATGTCGATTTTCTCTCACGTCGATGTCAAACCCATGAAAATATAGACATGTCGATGGAGATGTCGACATTTAAAACTATGGATCAAACCATGAAAATGTCTTTAGATAACAACAAATTGAGATCTCTTTTGAAATTAGATGAATGAGAGAGAGAGAGCCGTGGATTGAAAAAAAACCATCACCACCCAAGAAGTTGGGAAATTTGCAAACTCATCTCTTTTGGTATAGTATCAAAAGCAATTCCACATGCCACACAACACTACTAGAAATAAAGTTTTTCTCGACCCCTCAAAATATTGTGAAAGGCGCTTTCCCGATGAAATATTTCGTCGGGAACCCGCCGACTCATGGACAAGTAAGACAAAGCATCCTAAAAAGGAGTTTTTGACAAAGCATGTGTTTTGGTGGCTCATTTGACTCATCCATTTGCTTTTCTCTCTTTTTTTTTTCTTCCTTTCATTATCTAAAATCTTAAGAAAATCTTTGATGGCATCACAAAGTTGAGCTGCCAGCTCTGAAAGGTTGCATGTGATGTCACTCAACCAGGCTGAAACTTTCCTTATGATGAAAGAAAAGGGAATGCCCAATCCCATCATAAGTGCTTACATGTATAAACTTTTGGTTTAATTTGATTAATTGGATTGATTAAGGGAAAGTCCACTTTTTTGTTCATATTTTGTTGTTGATATAAAATAAAACTATGGATTGATGCTAATATGGAGAAACTTCTTTTAAAACATCTTTTAGGAGGAGATAATATAGGAAAAACATGTTTGGAAGCCCATTTTCTAAGCCTTATATATGTTTTCTTGCTTTTCTTTAACGTGTTTCAGTGATGAGTTGAACTTCCGGCCTTTTTAGTCGAAGTAAATATATGTCTGTCTTTATCAGTTGAGTTAGTCTCAGATTGACTGTAGTTACCTGATGAATGTACACATTAATAACCCTGTAGTTTTACATTAAATCTCAATTTTTAGGTTTAACTTTCAAAATGTTAATTTTAATACTTGAATATTTAGGTTTATTACACCCTTGTCCATGATCTTTGGAAGGTTTATTTTAGTCTTTGGATTTAAAAAAGATAATAAATAATAATTTTCGCACTTACCATTATTTTGTTTTTAACAAATGGATAAGATAACTTCAAAGTATATGTATATTACTTTCTGGAGAATAGACGCCACACCATTCATTCAAAAACTAGGTGAGAAATATACAAGATTAGGAGTGTTATAGGAGGAAAAAACGACAGGCAAACAGAGCTGACGAAGTGGTGGACCCAAATTGGGCTAGGCCGAGCAGGGCTCGGTTAGGAGTGTTATAGGAGGAAAAAATGACAGGCAAACAGAGCTGACGAAGTGGTGGACCCAAATTGGGCTAGGCCGAGCAGGGCTNACTTTGAAGAAGAAGAACCGGCTTGAATAAAAAGAAAACTTTAATGCGACGAGAGTGAATGGATAAACCACTATTTAAGTGGCGGTTTGGTGGTTATTTGTTAAAGGAAAGAGTTATTGGTGTTACAGGAGGAAAAAACGACAGGCAAACAGAGCTGACGAAGTGGTGGACCCAAATTGGGCTAGGTCGACAGGGCTCGGCACCGAGCCCTGCTCGGCCCACGGGTCAAGCCCAACGCTCCCAATCCCCTCCGTCATCCGTTACAAAGCTTCTTTTCATCCACCATCCGTTACAAGCCACGTGGTGAAAAAACCTTAGAAGATCCCGAGCGACTATAAGTAAAGAGGAAAGCAAACCCTAGAGGTAGACAAAAAAGAGACTAGTTACTTCATACCTAGTTGTTTCGTCCATTGAGCTGACTTTGGCATTGGAGCCCATGTGACTAAGGTCGCACCGGTTTAGACTAATATGATTTTACAGGTCCCTGATCATCGAAGTTGTTGCAGATCAGGCAATTTGAATTGGAATTGTCCACGCATCAACAAAGAGGTTAAGTGAAGGCACTCCAATTCAAAGAGATAGTGAGAATATCATAATTACAAAACGAGGTCGATTTAAAATATATAAGTTGATTGAAATGGTGAATGCATACGATATTAGGCGACAAAATAATAGCAATAATCAAAATAGTTTTTTTTTCCTTCTAAGTTTAGACATATATTAAAATAAATATTTTAAAAGTTCATGAACTTCAAAATTTCAAAAAACATAAAGCCGAAAGTTCAGGAGCAAAAATGAAATTTAAACCGATTTCTAAACCAACTTGCAAAACAAAATTGGGTTGAAAAGGGTTAGCTTTCCAAATTTCAAATCCCAATTCTCATACTTTGAGCCATTGGATATACTTTCAACATTTAAAAAATATATAACACAAACTTTCTGAAATGGTCATAGACAGTTGAAAGTTTAGTTGGTTTTTGTTATCTTTTCTCAAGAGGGAAAGAAAAAAGAAAAATAAAATGAAAAAATAATTTTTTTTTTTCTTTATCTAACATTGGTTCCATGTCTCTTTAGTAGATGATGAGCAAGAGATGACTCAGACACACAAATCAAAAGCAAAAGCTTCCACTTTCCATTTCCAAATTTCTCCTCTTTAAATACATGAACCCAAATCATTCAATCATCTCAACAACTACAGCCAATTTCTCTCTCTCTCTCTCTCAATAATCTTTTTATTCTCTCTCTCTGTGTTGGATTTGAAAATGAAGACTCCAATTCAAGAACAAGTGCTTGGAATTCAGATGATGAAGTCATTGGCTCTCACAAGAGCCAGGCTTTTGCCTGATATTGCTGATGGATGTCAATCAATAAAGAAATGTAAGAAGAAGAAAGAAAAGATCAAGATCAAGAACAACTTTGTTCCTTCTTTTGGTGTTTTGTTCTTAATGAAGTTGGTTTTTTGAATTTTTGCAGATAATGGGAAAGATTGGATCCTCAATAGAGTCAACAAAAACGGAAGAAAAACCGATAGTATCATTCACGGACTACGAGAACATGGTAAGTCTTTCTGAAAAGGCCAGAATAATTTGGATCAGGATTTGAAATATGAATTCAGCATATACCCTATTTATGACTTGAGCTACTTTCATCTCCTAATTGAGAAGGAGCTCAAGTCAAGCTGGTGAAGCGGATTCGAATTTCAAATCCTAGTTCGAATCTTGGGTTCAAGGCGTTATATCGGGATCCGGGTGTGGTTCAATTTCTGATCTTTTGGCATTGAACTTGCAGTGAAATTAGGAGCCAAGATCTCAGAAACTGTGAAGGGGAAGCTGAGCTTGGGAGCAAGAATTCTGAGAGTAGGTGGGCTGAGGAAAATCTACAAGAAGTTATTTGCAGTTAGTGAAGGAGAGAAGCTTTTGAAGGCTTCACAGTGCTATTTATCAACAACAGCTGGGCCTTTGGCTGGCCTTCTCTTCATCTCCACTCACAAAATTGCTTTCTGCAGTGACAAATCCCTCAAACTTTCTTCCCCAAATGGAGATCATCTTAGATTTCACTATAAAGTAAGTTCATTTTCCTCTCTTCTCGCTCTTTCTTTTCCGCTCTCGTCAGGGCAGAGCAGAAAGCTTTAGTATGGATAGGCAAAATTTTACGTTCTAACTTCCTTCTTTGCTTTGCTTCTTATACTGGTTCTAAGAGCGATGATGGATATTTTGCAGGTAACGATTCCTCTCGGGAAAATAACAAGGGTTTTTCAGAACGAGAATGTGAATAATCCTTCAGAGAAGTACATGGAGATAGTGACAGTGGATGAATTTGAGTTTTGGTTCATGGGGTTTTTGAATTATCACAAGTCTTTCAAGTGTCTTCAGGAAGCACTTTCTCAAGCCTAATTATTATTGGAGGGATTATTTGAATTAGTTGAAGACAATGTAAATTTTCACAAGTTGGGTTTTGAAGCAAATTCAAATATTTAGATTTGGCTTCAAAAAGTCAACTTATAATTATGGATTGAGATGTGTTTATGGGGTGGAAGTTTGGGGATCACAAGATGTCAACAAAAGTTGAAAGTTTTGTACAAATTTAAGTTCAATGAGAAAATTCTATTTTATTCTTGTTATAACCCAAAAACCAATGCTTCTTTTTTTCTCCTTACACTTGTCTCTCAATATACCATAGTTATGAATGAATGAAAATTAAATTAACTTCATCAAATCTTAACCAAATTAATTGAGCGCCATTTGTAAGATCTTAGTTTGTTTAACTTTTGAAAGTTAAGATTGCGATATATCGACTGGGGTAAAAGACGAGTGAAAGGTAAAGTAAACTTGATTCTCAGCGATATATTATATGTTTAAAAAATATAAATGTTTTATGTCATTTACATAGATCAAAATAAAAAAGGAAACGTTAGCCAAAATTTACATTATAATTTCAAGTTATATACCAATCTAATTTATGAGTCAAATGCCCCTTCAGAAGTGTTATTCTGTAGAGTAATCAAAAAATGATCTTTAGGTAGATGTTCTAAACGCTTTAAAGTGACTATTGACCAATATAGTTATCAAAATTGACGACGGGCTACCAGAAACCAAATGACTCAGACCATTCTCGATTTTTGTGAAATTAGATAAAATCGAACGATGAACCCTAGATCGACTCAATAATCTTAGCGGTTTCCATTTACAACCTCTAACTTCATCAAAACTTTCCATTGATCTCAAACATATATGATCACTTTTTAGCCAAACAGTGGAACAGTGTTGTGTTAGCAACCTCCATAAACCAATATTAACTTTGATTATTCACACAGTGAGAAGAAAAAGTTATGTATAAAAGTTGAAGAAATGTGGGAGCTGAGGTGGGTTTGATGTGGAAATCCATTTAATATATGCATAAAAAGTTCAAATTTTTGCCAATATTACCCCTTAATTTGGTAAGCTCTGTATGGTAAAAAAAAATTAAAACCCAAATTTCTTCTGCCTTAAGGCAGCAACAGCTTGGCCTTTTTTGCCTCATCACTTACACCTCAGCCTCAATTTTTAATATATGCCTTCAACATTTGTGACTGTATTCCACGTAAGCTTATAATAATGGCTTTTTATTTTTTAAATTAATAATCAATCTTGACCAATTACCTTAGATTAAAAAAATAAAAAATAAAAAGTTTGATCTTTTTTTCCATTCTAAGGGAATTAAAATATGAAGTTAGGTGGTAATTACTTTCTCTTGGATAATATATCTGAAATTTATTAGCAATATTATTGTATTTAAAGGGATGCTTGGCTTATGAGTAATGTAATAATGTTTGTACAAGGTTAAGATTGAGAAGTCGAACTTACATTTGGGATTTGGGTTTGGGTGAATGATTATTATTTAAAAGGGCGTATAATTTATTGGACGATATTCTATAATCCAAAATTGAAAAGTCCAACTTATATTTGTTGGGGGTGCGAATAAATTAATCTCACATTTGCTGCGACAAATGAGAAGATTTATGATATATAACTAAAGACAATTATTGTTAGGAGATGGAGGCATAAAATTGGAGAGGTTGAAACCTGACGCGAGCCCAGTGGTACAATGCCGACGCAGGAGAGAATTCTGTCTTTTATTCATTTTTATTATTATTTGTGGTGATCTGCGTTGTGGTTGGAGAAAATTAATTAGGTCTTGATTGAAGGATTGATCAATTCTCTTTTCTATGGCACTAGACTTTTCGATGAAACTAAGATTAAAGTCATTAGAGCTTATACAAAAAGTAGGTAATATCATATTATTATGAAGATATGTATAGTCGAAAAATATGATGTGAACGAAGGTTTTGTTGACCACCTCCTTCAACCATTTCAAATAAAGTTGATCATTAATTCCATTTAATTTGCTATAAAGCTACCCATAATTTATTAAAATTATGCTAAACTTTTTCTTAATTGAATGATGATCTTTATTGAATTAATGACCCACCCTAAAGTTTGAGGGTTAATTTGCCTTTGTGTGTGTGGATAAGTATGAGACTTTGGTTTATGAAATTTTATCCATATATATTGACACGTGACTATTAAATTATGATGGCTTTTTTTGTGATATTACACATTAAATTAATAGCACTCTCAAATTTTCTTTGGTTTAATCATAAATATTCATTCTCTATGCTTGTTTATGCCTAAAGTATATTATGAAAAGCAGTGCTCAACATGCAAATTATTTTATGTATGAAATTAGAGAATAATTATTCGTTAACCATAGAATTGTTTAACCAAATATCTATCTCAAACAAAATATTAATCTTGAAATATGTTTTATGATGGATTGTCTTGAAATTAAACTTAATGATAACTTCGTCCATTATTTATACCAATTATTTCCATTAATGATCTTATTTTTGACGCATTATAAGGGATGATGGGAGTAGAAGTCTAGAAAGAAAGAAAAATAGACGATACTGTTTATGCTCAAAGTGATATTTTTTAATCCAGTATAGTTTCTCTCGTCCAACTCCTTTTACTTTATTGTTTAGATTGATGTTTATGTTTGTGTTTGTGTCACTACTTCATTCTAGATTTCATCCTTGATATGACCAACTTGAAATTTATTTTCAAAACCGGGTTATTATTATTTTTTCTCAATTATGTCGTATGTTGTATTTTTTTTTTGCTGTTTGTTTTCTTTTGTTATAGTGTTGTCTTTCTTGTTCATGCTCTTCCAGCATTTTTAGGTCTTTTTGTTCCTTTTGTGCCTTGATCTCGAACGGTGAGATCTATCTTTTTCCTTGAAATATACCTTACTTTTGCACCCAAAAAAAATTGATATAAAATGAAATAATTGCTCAAATAATTTAGTTTTATGGTGAATAATGAAACAATAGCTTTCAATGGCACCAATGAAAAAGCAAATCATTGAGATCATGATTTTAGTAAGATTTTAAAATCTTACACATCAAAACAGGTTTTTATAGGCAAAAACCATTAGATTGATTTAACTTCATCCAATTAAATTCTATAATAAATGAATATCTCTCTTGTTGGTTTTCCCTTTTACCCTTTTTTTTTTTGTAAGTTGCAGTCCTATTCACTGACACCTCAATGAAGACTTATTCGATTGAACATTTGAATGTTTCAAAATTGACACAGAATGCCAACATCTTCATGACTGTAATCCACGTAATTAAAAAAAAAAAACAAAAACGAATAACAGATATTCTCTCTCTCATTATCTATGTAATTCCATGAATGAGACCCAAGCTTTCTTATCATATCTAATTCCCCCCCTCTCTCTCTCTCTCTTCTGTGAAAAAGAAACTTCTTGTTTGTAGCTAATTTCTGGGAAAACTATAATATCTCAGGGAGGGAAGGCTCAAATTCAATGATTGCCATGATCAGAAAGCTTGGAAGAAAAGCTGACAGTTTTGTTAATGGAATTCTAGACCATGGTAAATTGATCTGAATTTTACTTTCTTTCATACCTGATTGTGATGGATGATCTCCTTTGCTGATTTGGAAGCTTGTAAACCTGTAAACCTGCAAAAGAAATCTCTTGTAATGTAACAATGACAAAACCTGTAGAGAAATACATACAAAAGCCATGATCTCTGATTTTTGCTGCTCTGTATCAAAAACCAGACTCAGTTTCATGCATCAAATTGCTTGACAGTTGAGTTGGAATGACGCCGTGCAGTTAAACTGTCGCCGAACGTCGCCGAGACCGTGAAGGGAAAGCTGTGGTTGGTAGCAAAACTTGTTCAGTTTGGTGGGAGTGGGAAGATCTTTCAGAAGCTGTTCAATCTCAGACAAGGAGACAAGTTGCTGAGTTCTTCCCACTGTTATTTATCAACCACTGCAGGTCCTATAGCAGGCCTCCTCTTTATCTCCACCAATGCAGTTGCCTTCTGCAGTGACAGACCAATCATCATCACTTCTCCACATGGAGAATTGGGCAGATTCAATTACAAAGTAAATACTTCCTTCAACATTAACTTTTGGGTCTGTTTCACTTTCTCTCTGTGGTTGCTACCTGCTAATAAGTTCTCTGTAATATGCCTCCTTTGATCAGGTTATGATCCCAGTGAAGAAGATGAAGAGAGTAAACCAGACAGAGAATGTAAGCAATCCATCAAAAAAGTACATTCAAGTGGTGACAGTGGATGACTTTGACTTCTGGTTTATGGGTTTTTTGAATTATGGGAAAGCATTTAAGTTCCTCCAAAAGGGGGTTTCTGAGGATTAAAGAAAAGATGTGGACATTGTAAAGGTTCTGTTGGTGATTGGTAAGAAAACTTATCTGAAAAGATCAGATTTTTTTCATCTCGATCAGTACTTCAACACAAAATTTAATCAATACTTCCACATAAAGATAGAATGCACAATGCACAATGCTCAAATCATTCAACTAAAGAACAGCACATAATTCAGATTATACAGATGCCAGGTAATGAAATTTGTGTTTGTTTATAAAAGCCTCCATCTTGGATTTGATATGCATTTATTTATAATCCTAGGTTGTACTTGAGTTAATGCAACTAATATGCAATGGTTGCTCTAAACAATGAGAAAAGTTTGTGCTAGCTTTGCCCATATGGCTACATGGTTTGCAAGTAATGTCAGAAACGTGTGAAATGTGTTTGATAAACTCGTCCTGAGGAAGTCCCTAAATAAATTCCATGAGACATCGATGCTAAGTGTCTAGAGTGACGCTTTGCTTTTCGACATATAAAAGTCCTTAAATCTGAGATGTCGTTTCAAGGTGCCTAAAGTGATGCTCTGTTTAAAATAAGAATCAATTGTAATTCATTAAAATAACCAAATCGTCAAACATGATATGAATTGGTTGGTTAGGACCTTTCACCCTGACATGCATGATATTCAAGAATCTAATGAGAATCTCAGACCACTTTGCAGAAATACCTCTTGCGGTTAGGATCAAGACAAGGCATCCACCAAGCTTGATTCTTTAGAAAAAAACTCATCACATTTTCAGACAGTCGAGAGTGACAGAATCGAAGAATAATATAGAACAATGTTATTAATATCCACACAAGGCAACAAATTTCCAACATATGAAATGTTAAAAAGGGAAAAAAGAAACATAAACAAATGCAATGTACACCAAATGTACGTGCGAATTCTATGCTACAAATTATGGTGGTATCCTCCAAAGCCAAAGACAGACATTAGAATGCTTATTAACAGGAGCCAGACTGAAGGTTGCATACCCGAGAAGCAATAGAAATATGCTTTCCAAAAGGATTCAGTGGCAAGGATTGTTTTAGGATTGCTGGTATTGGGTCTCACAGAAAAAGATCTGGCTCGCATAAACTTCCTGTAAAATTCACTTTCAATGATTCAGGAAACTGCAATCCAGCCTCATCACATCCAGCCTTGGTAATATGAGGGCATGACCTCACATCTAGATATTCGAGGTAGTTGCATTTGTCCATAAGAATGCTTAATGCCGCTAATGTGATCTTCGGGCAGTTACTGATCTTCAAAACCTTCAAATTCACCTCAGTACCCTGGCTTCCTATACCATGGAAGGCAGCATCCGTCACCTCCTCACAGCAGCCAATGTCAAGAGCCTCCAAATTTCTACACTGGGTGAATATGCAGCTTAAAGAAGAGTCAGATATGTTCAAACACCAGTCCATACGCAAAGTTCTGAGATTATTTTTACATGCATGTGCAAGCTTTTGAATGGATTCATCAGAGATGTCCCTACAGCCACCTATGATAAGAGTCTCAAGATTTTTGCAGAACTGAGCCAGTGACAAAATGGAGGCATCTTTAATTTTATAGCAATCCAACAACTTCAATGTCTTGAGGGAGGATGAACAAGCCTTTGAAACACTGGATATGCCAATGTCCCCAACGTTGCTGCATTTATTAATATCTAAAACCATGATCTTCTGACAGCCTTTGACAAGTTCTGTTAGTCCAGAGTCAGTTATATTTGTGCAGCCAAGTAGGCCCAATTCTTCTAAATTCTGACAGTTATTAGAAAGAGTTTTTAATAGTTCATCTGTAACCAGTTTGCAGCCGGCGAGATTCAAGTTCCTTAGGTCTTGACATCCTTCTGCGACAGCTGAGAATCCCTTATCGGTCAACTTTCTGCAATAGGCCACGTCCAACGTCTGTAGTTTTGAAAGACCACGTCCAATTGCTGCCATTCCTGAATCAGTGATGCCTGCAAGCACAGAGAAAAAAAAATATCAAAATATGGGAAACGCATGCATCAAAAGTAACTTCTAGAATTCACTTGTGGTGTACCCAGTTCATATCATAACAATTCAAAACAAATTAATAGAAAACTATACCGAGTATTGGTTTCTAACAAAATTTTAGGCAGCGTGTTCAATTTTCTCCGGCGATATTTTTCAATAAAAATACAGAAACTCAACTAATTAATTGGTCCAAATTCCAAATTCTTTATCCAAAAATTAATTGGTCCAAATTCCAAATTCAATCAAAACTAAAACAAAACCGAACTTGGTTTTATTTTAAAATGCTCCGAGTTGTCAGGTCGTTTAAGTAGATTCCTAAAACTAAAAATGTCAAAAGAATTAGAAGAGCAAACAGAGACTTTACTCAGTTACTACGTAACCATGAACGTCATTGCCAAAGCAGAAAAACATAGTGGGTGGAAGTAAATTACTTTTGCAATATTGAAGATTGAGGACTTTCAAGTACTGGAAACCATCAGCAACAACAGTAAGATCCGAATCAGAAACGCCCGGATAGAAAGACCGAGAAGTGGACTGGGAGAGATCCAATTCCAGGAGGCGCGAAAACCTGGAGGCCATTTTGCGAAGCATGTGAGGACCGGCACGAGCAGAGAGCCTCTTCCTCTCGTTGCTCTGAACTCGCAGCCATCTTTTGCATACTAACCCAAAAATCTCCTTGTCTTTTTCCCTCTCAATCTTGTCCAGTATGGATCGGAGCTCGTCGTCGGTCAGAGCATCGTTGATGCAGACCATAACAGCAGCTGAATCCGACCCGACATTGGACGCCATAGCCGATTTGAAGAAGTGTGAAGAGTGAAGAGAGAAATTGGAGATTAGGGTTAAATAGGAAAAAGAAAAAAGCCCTAATTTTCTCGTAATCGACATCGCAGAGAAGAAGGAATTTTAAGGACTGTTTGTTGAATTTTTCTGGTGAAGTTACAGAATTACCCTCACCAGCTCAACCTAACTCTCACTGATAAGGGGTATTTTCAACATTTAAGATGTTCTAAAAGGAGTATTTTATTTTTAAGTAAATAATTTGTTTTTCCAGATAATTATTATTCGATAAGACAATTTTAATCATTGAAGCCAACTGCCATTTTCATGTTTGACAGAACCTCCACTCCCAAATTTTAGAGAATTTTCCTTTTTTTATTTCAAAATTTTAATTTACAACTATTTATCTGCTTCAAATTATTTGTAATAGCACGTAACAATTTAATCTTTAATTTAAATTTTATAATAATTTAATATTTTAGTTTCTAGAATAGAAAACCTCATCAAAATTAAGTATTAATTTTTATTATTTAATAATTAATCTTTGGATTTATAAATATATTTGGTTCTTTATTAATTGATCAGTCTACTAAGATACTCTATTAAATTGTAATAACATAATTTACAATAAAGATTAAATCATTACCAACTCTAAAGGGTAAATAAATTTTTTCTTAGAATATTATTTCTTTAACCATGTAATTAAATGCTTTTTATTTCTTCTAGTATACAGAAATTCTTCTCTCTATGAAAACATTACAATTTTGGCCATTATATTAATAAAACAAAATTGTAAACTTAATTGGCATTTAAGTTATACAATATTAGAATTGATTTTTTTTTAATGAAAAAGTGTTAGAAATAAAAAGGATATTTTCATTATTATGAGACAAATAGCTTTTTGTTCTTTAGTTAATTATTGATAAATTCTTTTTTACGGAAATGATTCGTAAACTATTATTATAATTAATTATTGTACCAAATACGGATTATAGAAAATCAATAATTTATAGTTGATCAGTCAAACATTTCATTCATAATTAGTCCACCACCAACCATTTTAACAATTTTTAATCAATCATTCATCAACCAATATACCAAAAAAAAAAACTAATTATTTAATTGATATAGGTCTTTTAAGATCTACCAAAATGAACTAAAGTGTCAATATTTAATCATGAGGTTTAATCTCTAATCTCAAATTCACAAAACAACTCTTATCCAATATGAAGTTTTTATTAACATTTATCATGGAGATTCACAAACTCATTGTCAATTAAATTCTCTTTTTTTTCTCTCTCTACAAAATGTTGTAATTCCATCCTTTTTGCAACTATTTCCACACCTCACTCCACACAAATCCAAGCCAAGCAACAAAAAATGCAACTTTCACAAATATTAAAGAGAATACAATGCATTCAAAATTATAATCAAAGATCAAGGGATGAAGCTTGAGTTCAAAGCTGAAACAAATACAGAAAAGAGTGCAAAATTTTATCAAACAAGCAGCTACAATGTATTTGAGAAGTGACTTATCTACCCTCAAAATATTGCACTATATACAACAACGATTATCGATATCGAACTTTATGGCTCTAGATCTGTGCAATATGTTGCACTCATAGACAAGCAAAGTTTATCAGTGAAGTCATGTTCCTGCAGAAGGGACCAAGAAATTCAAGACAACATGGGAAAACATGGCTACAGAACTACCTGTCTTACATTTCAAGAATCAAGTGGAGAAGGATCTAAAGTGTGATGTTAGAACTCAAATTTTGGTCCAACAACCTTTGATTTGTTGAAAAAAGAAAAAACAATTTAAGCCATTGAAATCCTGTACAATGCCATTGCCAACAGAGAATGATGCCTTTGAATTATTTGCTTCCATATATATAATAATGGCCTTGCAAACAATGTGCTCTAGTTAATACATATAGAAAGTACCTTGGATAAAAAATGGGTCATATGCATCTGTCAAACATCTGAAGAAATCTATTAAGCTTTTCCCTGCCAAAATAAGTTGAGCAACTTCACAGAAGCAGCTGTAAACTATGAAGCATTATCCGCATCGGCTTGTGAAACCCGTGTTTCGTGTCTGCATATATTTAGAACATAGTTGCTGGAATACCCTCAAATTGAATCACCAGATAAAGCTTCATACCTCTCTTGTAAGGACAATCACGGATCTTACTGATGTATATGATCAATGGGATGTGGGCATTCTAGTATGTGAATGAGAGATCTCATCAAGGAATTCCTTTGTCTATGGAATATAAAAGGAGGTGAATTGAACACAATCATGCTGCTTCGTCGCCAAATTCGACACTTAAGTAGTCTTGGGTTTCTAGGGGATTGCATGTACCTATCTCATCCATTTCTATGTGAACGTGAGTCGAGTCGATAACTACACAACATGGAATTAGGTTCTCATCAATTGTACAGACAAAACAGTTGTTATAGAGACCTTCTTTTGGTGCTAAATTTAATAAACATGATTTTGGGGCTGACACTCTGCTATTCCTATTGCTAAATCCCTCTAGGCCTTTTGCCATCAAAATAAGACGATGGCGGCGGCCTAAAAGCTCAGAGACATATTTCATATCTCCTATCGAAAGGGCATAGCGAACCCGAGTTGATGACACTTGTCCTCTCTCCTTTGAATTGGCAGAATTAACAACTTTCTGGTTTTTATCCATCACAGATTTAATAATACAAGCACCTAACCCATATTCCTCACATAGTTTCACCAACTCCACTGCATCACCTGCCGCTTTATATCCAAACCTGTAACTTTCACCTGCCATAATCGCCGATTAAAACCTCAAAACAACCGTATTCTACACCAAGTCCGAGAGAGTATATACTACCAATAAAAGACGTGCACTATTTATCTTAATTCATTTACCTGCCACAACTCCACGAACGCCAAGCTCCTTTGATAATTTCTCAACAAATTCCCGTGGAGTCAGATGGCGAACGCTTGAAAATTCAATCTGGTACTCTGATGGAGCCGAGTTTCTGCAATATGGTGCCCAAGAGGAAAGAACTCGCTTCCTATCGCATTGAGCAACTACTGGAGCCCTGTTCAATTTAACTAACAGATAAATAATTAACTTCAAGCATATAATTCTTCTTACTCGTTGAGAACAAAGGACGGGATAGAGAGATGAAATTGAGTAAACTCAACACTTTTGCAAATCCTCTCAGAGAACATAACAGATGGTAATCATTTTCCCATCATTTTGCCTATCTAAAAATAGGGAGAGAAACAGGCTAAAACATTATCAAACGATCTAGATGGTTCTAGATGAAAAACAAAGGCAACATCAAAGAACACTGGATGCCACACTATTACTTTTATATTCAATTTCCTGCACTCTCTGTGCAGTGTGGAAAGACCAGATACAGTTACATGTTGAAGAGATGAGTTAATCCAGGTGCAGTAAAGCTTTGTTTGTTTTCAAAGAAAATTGCTCCTGGATGCTCCCAGAAATGATATGGAAAAGGGTCTATGATGTTAAAACCCCAAGTAACAATTTCCTCCAGATCATCATCACTTTTAGAACCACCTGAATCCTCTGCTGTATAAGAGTAATTTTCCAAAAGATACATTTTCCCTTAAAGCTGGTAGTATCCTTCAATTATTCCTCCCTAGAATCCATGACAACTCATAGTTTTTCGCAGCAGGATTTCTCTATGGCTCTCCTGAATTGCTTAGTACTATGTTGAATATCTCAAGTAATTACCTCAAAAATTTCCTCCATGATTTCTTTCAGGTTGTTAGCAACCAACCATAAGGCCAGCATGCCTTGCTCTCTTTGTGCTGTCGGCTGCACACCCCAATTGTTGCAAGCCATCAAGCCTAAGAGAAACAATGGCTCTGATACCAATCTGGTGTGTAACAAAATCGAAGGGCAGAGAAAATACACCAAGCAAAGCTGTAAGAAGTTGCTGATATTACTAATCTCTTGACTTCTTGGAAATGCAGTCAAAAGTTGACCACCAGAGAGGCTAAGGGGCCAATTTAATATGGCCTATTTCCGGCGCTCACAAGACATAGAATAAAAGGCAGGAAACTAAAGAAAGGCGCCAAGACTGGAATCTGTTAAACTACTGGCAGGACAGAACAGAGATAAACAATGCAGACTAAGTTCATAGTTTCACATCTATCTATATCTTTTTCATTATCAACTCATCGAACCACCACTTGAACAGGGAGATTGCAGCGAATTGAAATTGAGTTTTTTTTTCCCCCTCCAGAGACAAGATAGTAGAATAGGAAAATTATCAGGATCTAAGGGATACCTTTATGTTACACCTATCCGCCAAATAGGACCGAACAAGAGTTATTCTTTCACTCCAGAACAAAATAAATCATCCAAATGGTTAGCACAAGATAATCCAAACATAATCCATAGTCCATAGATATTACTTGTCCATGTCCCCCTTGAGCAGATATTTTTAAGGATAAAATAATATAATCCTCATATTACTCCCAAACCACCCCCTTAACATTCTAAAATAATACCTGCACCTTTATAATTTACAAGGCTTCCCATTGAAAACCTAATGAGATTCATTAATGTTATACAAAGCAAAATAATGGAGGATCAGAAGTTTTCACAGTTTTTTTTGGTACCAAAAACAATTCAAACCTTCCACAGGAAATATGAGGGAGTTGCATGAGGTTGACCCATGGAATGTCAGAACTTTATAAATCAATCAGAACTGCAAAAATTCTCTTTTGTTAGGGCATGGACAGATGTGATTTTCCTATCGTTTATGATGAAACAAATAATAGGTTACATAAAGAAAAGGCATTATGCTTACCTAGGTTCCCAACCGAGTACTTCAGCAATTCCAGCAAATGACAACAGAAATGGAGATCCAACCTTTGATGCTTGAATTGCAAGCTCCCGATGACCAACATGGAGAGCGTCAAATTTTCCTAATGCTACTATTCCTCCTATAAGTGATTACAAATAATTAAAACAATGGTCTCATAATAACAAAACTGTAAATAATTGGAGAAAATAATGTTTGTCCCAATCGAATGAGCAATGCAGGTTTATATTTGAAATTTGCCTATAGCTAGCTAATACTAGAGAAGGAAAGAAAAAATCCTCATATAATTTCCGTAAAGTAGTGCCTAGAAGATACGAGAGTATCTATCTAATAAAACTAAAGACTGTATGCCCATCTGGTCAACCTAAGTTAGCTTGTTAAACTCAGTTATTTTATTTAAAAAATTATTATATATAAAATATATACTGAGTCTCTGACACTCCATCTCAAGTTGATTAGTGTGTATATTTCATTCCTAGCTTGCTAACAAAATTATGCAATGTTGAGCCATCAATTCTTTTCTAAGCACATCAGCTATTTGACAATGAATTGGAAGAAATGCTATACAAATGAAGTTTCCTTTGTAAAATATTGACCGTACACCTTACGGAAAATACTCATCAACAGCCTAAATCCTAAGATCATTAGAAACAATTTCTCATCCAACCTACAACTAGGTTGGATATTCTGCAGACCCCCAATACTAGAGAAATTGATTTGACGATTTGAGTTTAGGTTAAATGGGAGGTTTAGTGACACCAAGCATGATATAAACATAAATAGGTTATACAATGATGGCAAGAAGTTTGAGTTCGTGATCAATGCTGATCAATCAACGCTCTTGCAATGAAGGCCAAGCAATAGGTTATAAGACAGTAAGTGAAGTGATTCCTAAGTTGTATCTACTCACATTCAGCTTGGCTAACAGCTTTAGTGTAGTATTTCTAACAAAACCCAATTCATGTATTTCAGAAAAATTGGGGCAATCTTAAACCCATCATGCAGCATTATAAACACCCAATCATACAGTCAAAAAAATTCCTTCACATGAAATAAGAGGAAAAATTCAGACTAAGATAACATTCCATGAAAGTAGAAACAATGGGGGAAAAAACAAACCTGCCACAGATACTTCGCGATCATCTTCTCGTGGACTGAGGAACAATAAGATAATGGGTAAAATTGTACGAAGAATGAAAACAACAAGAAATCAGAGAAGACGAAATGGAAAGTTACCCAAAACAATCGGAGAAAAGGGGAATTTCGCCGGGGGAGGTGGAGGGGACAATGGAACAAAAGAAAGAAATCCCACGTCGATGGGGGCGAGGAGAAATGGTGTGGGAAATTGAAGGTATGGAAGTGGGGTTGCGAGGCCATATCGGCGGAAGCAAAACGACGGCGGAGGAGGAGAACCCAGAGCTCAATCCGAAGCCGAAGTAATAGTCGCAGTCTCGGAGGTGGTGAGAAACGCGAGCGCCGGCGGCCAACATCGCCACGGCGGCGGTCGGGGATAACGAGAGGCGCACACTCTTTTCCTGTTCTGCTGCCTTTTCCAACGTTTTTTACTTTTTTAAGTTCTACTGTGTATACTTGTAATTATTCTTGAAACAGCCCACACGAGCTTAATTCCAGCATCTTAGGATTGCACGGCCATGAAGTTAAAACGACCAGGTTCAAATAAAGAAAGGCTCAAGACAAGAAGGATATAATAAGCAACCAAATATTTGGAAAGGATTCCAGATGACCGTTCATGTACGATCCAATACTCCTCACAGCTCATCTTTATCTCATCGTTGGCATGTTTTGGTCTTCTTTCTCATTACTTAGAAAAATTAAGGTATTTTATTCCTTAAATTCGAGATTCAATCCTCCATCCCTATATTTGTCGTACTAAAAGAATTATTCATGAAATGACTCAAACATACTCTTTTTTTTTCCTTGTGATGCTCTACAAAATATGATATAATTTGATAGTTAATAAAAGGACCCAAACATATACTTTTTTCCTTGTGATGGCTCTACAAAATATGTATAATTTGATAGCTAATGAAATGACTCCAACCAAGTAATTGGATTGAAGAAATTAAAATTATCAAAATTTACAACAATCCTATAAATTAAAATTATCAAAATTTACAATGATCCTATGCTAGATTAGAAGTGAATCATCCTACTAACATGAGCATGGATCAACTAATCAAGACATTACTTACCTCTCTAAATGTCAGTGGTTTTAATATCTTGTCTTTTGTTGGAGTAAATGACAATAAAATTAAGGTCCAATTATTGATGGTCATAGCAAATTTACAATCAAAATATGTCTTAGGAACAAAAATGAACTATTAAAAAAAAACAATTCAATAAATAGAGACAGAAATTCAAACGTACTACCTTTTAATCGAAGATATATGTCTTAATCAATGACTATGGACAGAAGAAATCAATCTTTAGCATCATCAAAACTAATTTAACTTCTAAAAAATAAAAAAAGTAATTCAAGGTTTTGAGATCAAATTTTAAATTTGTAAACTAAGAATGGAAAACAGTACACCACAGAGGAGTTTGGTAGAGAATGAAGTTCAGAGGAACACAATTCTTTTTTTCTTTTTCTTTTTTTTGGCCTCAATATCTATTATGAAGAGATTGTTAAGTAGGAAAAGAAAATATACATATTAGAGATAGTGGGCTCCACTGGCACAAAATCACTTGCAGCCCCCAAAAAAAAATTGTAATGAAAAATTAGAACAAAACTCTTGCAGCAGTTCCTCCTTCCAACTATAAGGTTTGCAAGAGCAATGTGAATAGCTATTAGAACAACAGAACATATTTCTATTCATATCTCCAATTTGTACTTGAGGAAGCCTTTTTTTTTTTTCCTTTTTCCTTTTTTCTTTTTTCTGATTCACCCAGTGAATGAATTGGAAAACCCATCATTTACAAGTTCCCCAAAAGTAACCAACCTCTCAGAGGAAACAGTGTGATTTCTTTTCTACTATAACTTGCTTTCAGTTTTTAACTATATCTTGTGCTGTTCCTCCTTCCCCACCATTTCTTTTTCACCTTGTCCATGGCACCTTCACTCCCAAGCTTGTTCAAAATCACTTTCGTTTCGCGCAGCCTGCCCCCGTAATCTTTCTTCCATGCTTCGAACATCTGCTTCAACCTTCTGAGTTCCCTATCGGGGTCGAGACTCGCCTCGACTTGACCCGATTTTACCTCTACCAAGAACTTGGCATCGTCGCCGAAGACTTGACTTCTTTGTTCGAATTCCTCAGCCAACCGGCTAATGACACTGAGGCCTGCATTCATTGGTCTTACTCCATTGCTTTCGTTAGCTGTGTTGTTGCTGCCCACTTCCCAACTGTATGCTCTGTCGTCGCTTGCATTGACTGATGCATCAGAATTTCTCTCCGAATCATCGACTGCTAAGCTTTTCTTTGCAATGGAGAGGCTAGATTGCAGTGATCTCATTTGTCTCTGCCATACCTCTTCCATTGACTTCATTTTTAGCTCGTACTCTGACCAACGGTTCTCATACTGTTGGAGACGTTGATGGAGGATGTCGTTCTCTTCTTCTTTGTCTCTCAAAGCTGCCTCGGCCCTCAGAACACGGCGTTGTAATTCTGTGACGAAAGATGACTTGACAAGCACCTCATCTGACCCATTTGCCTGTTAGAAATTTAAGATTTTGAGCATCCATATTAGACAAGCAGATGAATTATTGATGTAAGATCCAGTACTACATTAATTTTTTTATACGATATGTGATTTATACAGAGACAACATTTTTTTTTTTTTATAACTGGGAGTTGGAGCTTTACTCCCCTATACTCGGGGCACCCGCGCATACCCCAAGGTCCGGATCCAGGAGACATCAAAAGTTTTTGATATTAAGCTCACCTGAAGGTTCGAACTTGAGACCTCTATACCGGTATGAACAAGAGACCCCAAGCCCGAACCAACGGGATTGCATCGATTATCAGTCAAAAATCATATGAAGTTGAAGTGGAACCAGTATTGAACCAAATATGAAAGATTAAGGCAACCAGAAACTTGAAAGAATAATGATGATCAGAAAGTGAACATTAAAAACTAAAAATTAAGAAAACAAAGATCAATATACTGAATGTGTACCTTCTGCCCACCAGACATTAATCCTATATCTCCTGAGCATCTTCTGACCAACCAGCCACGAATAACTGAAAGGTCGCGAACATAAGACCAAATCAGTAAATGTAATCAGAACTCATGAAAAACAAAAATACAGCAGGGGAATCTAAACAAGGCTTGGCAGGACAATCCACATTCCAGTTAGAAGCTAGTCTAATTTTCACAGCTTATTTTACTAGTCTCTATAGATCTGTAAATGCATCATTTCTTATAAGAACGTCCGGACTGTTTAGCCTTATCCAGTTAATATATATTGTTTAGTCAACTCTGCTTGTTTTACACATCCATGTCAGTACTCGAACGAGTACCACAATCTATCCTCCAAAGAGAGGAAAAAGAAGAAGAAAATTTGTTATTAAATTCAAGGGGACAGAGTGGGAATGCATACTAAAGTTATATTGGATAATTGAACACTGTTTTATATCGGTTAGATATCCTAATAAATGATTAAATTTACCCTAACCTATCAGCTTATGCTTTTGGATTGATTGGTGATTTAACATATTTAGAATGGTATTATGGTAGGAGATCCTGCGTTTGAACCTCTTATCATTTAATCCTCATTTAATATTGATTTCCACTCGTTGGGGTTTGTGCATATCTCCAAACCCACAAGTGAGGAGAAATGTTAGATATATTATAAATAATTAAATTTACTTAAGGAATTGATCGGTGATTTAACATATTTAAAAATATCAAACTCTCTTAAATCTGAACTCTTGACTCTTGTTTGTTAATTCTTTGTGAAATCATTAATTAGTGACATCCAGTAAAAAAGCGCAAAAATCAGGTCCTACAGTATGAGAATAGTTTATTTTACCTGATTGTATCAGAAGTGATGCATCACAAACTTTCTCCAAACGTTTTTTAGCAACTCTGGCTTTCACATACTTCTGAATAGAAATAGCAGCCCTATGCCTTCTTATCAAGATTGCATATTCTTTTCGGGTTTTTTCCCCACGTGCAACTGCATAAGAAATCAGATTAGTTCAAACTCTTTATCCTAAGAACTAGAAAGTGGTTGGTTCAATGTCGACGAGGAAGGTTAATACATGACTGAAGAATGGAAATCCCTCTCTTCAGCTTTTTGAGGTGGCGTCGAGCCAGGTGCCCTCTATAGCAGCTTTGAACGCATAAAATCCCATGGAGGGTACGGTTTCTTGTATCTTCGAGCACTCCAATCTGCCACCGAATATTTTTATAAAATTTTGATTACTTGACCAGTCAATATTTCATGTGAAGATATGGAAGTTACGCTTAATAAAATAAAAATTACAATTCCAAAAAATCAAATTCAGTGACTATAAAAAATTATAGATAATAAGTTAGATAATTTTGACTTCCTAACTGGTACATTAAGTTTCTTTTTGACAATTAATTTACAATCCAATTAAAACCAGAGGAAAGTAACAAAGTGCACAACATAAGTAACATATCAAGTCAACGTGATCTAATAATCATCAAATTTGCTAATGAAGGCAGAACTATTAGACATTTCTGATCTTCATGGCATACTTAAGTTCTCTCTCATGAGGAAATAAAAATGATTGATTATTGTCTACATTTATAAAATAAAATACTCTTAAGTGCACTTTTATTGCACTTTTTTAATGTTGTTTTCTTCTGAGTAGTTCTTATCAGTGCCCACCATGTAGGCGGTTTGCAATTAGGAAAAGAAATATTTTCGTACGTGAAAGGATATATCAACTCTTCAATTAACTTTCCTTTCTGGAAGATGGTATGGGTTGTTGTTCCTAGCTGTGAACCGTGCGGTGAACAGTTTAAAATCTTTAAAACCCAAATAGCCCTCAATGCATACAGCAATCAGTATTCATAAAAAACACAAATATTTTACCTGTCCAGTTCGAAAGAACAATTTTGTATAGCCAACTTGGTACATTTCAGGCAATATATCGAACTGATGAAGAATTGCGACTGAGACACTTAGTGGATCCTGCGATATGATGCTTTCTTGAAGGAGGAAACCATACCTGATGTCCCGCACCAGAATAGAAGAGCATGCACAAGTTATTACATCAAAAGATGTTAGAATTGAAAATTTTAAAACGCATAATGGTGTAAGCAATAACCAGGTGTACCTTCTAGCAAATTTCTGATGTGACATCCGGGTAGGAAAACCAGCTCGTGATATTCGCACCACTTCTAGGACCCCACAACATCTTAACTGTAGTAATACAAGTCCTTGGTCATACAAGCTGGGAGACTGAAGGTTGTTGGGCTTGATGCAACGGATGAAATGAGGTGTTGTATTTTCAAGACGGAGCATCAATTGGAATAATTGACCCTGAACAAGACTCAAATCTATTAATTAAAAGCAAGAAATTCGGCAGATGACAAATCAGTGCCTAAATATGATAAAACTCCAAGAGACCCTCGTTCATGTATCTACCGTGTCCTGAGAAAAGCTCAAATTCAAAGACTCTGCATCCTACTGTCTTGAAATTTACTGTTTCTAAACTCAATTTAAACAAACAGATGACCATTTTGAGATGTCTGTCATATTTATAACTGCCTCAAGAGCATCTGGCAACGAGTTTTAAGAATCAGACAAACATGTGAAGAAAGCAAACAAGATTATGTTTTCATCCCCCACTCCATTTTCAGCTACTGTTTTATATTTTTCCTGAATCAATCATTCACGTAATTTTGAACACACTCTTAAGAGTAACAATGTCTTATAGATATTGAACATGATGAAATATCAAAATAAGAACAAGTTCAGGAAATATCAAGAACACTAAGATATTGAATGATAAGTTAATTATGAAGCAGTATACCTTGAACTTTTTTGCAACACTTAGTTTTTGGGATTCTGCACCACCAGATTTATGTAAAGTGCCACCAATGGACTTTTCTGATTGATTTAGCATGTTGGATGCAAATATCCGAGGGAGATGGCATGAGCATGAGGATAGGAGTTGAATAGAATCTAAATGTAGCAAGTCCCTGTTTTTCTCCAGAAAACTAGTTGTGTCATATGTGACCTGAATGAAGACCCAAGTGCAACTATCAAATAGTCAGGTAAAATGAACGAGGAAAAAGAAATTTCACCAATGACTACCAACAACTCGACATAAATTTTTCGCACTAGGTAATGATATTTTCCACGATATTTTGTCAATTTTAACATCTTCACACAATAAAACCATCACTGACAGCAAGAAAAAATTAGAGACTGGTTAATGGAATCAAGTCAGGCACCATTGTGATCACAACCATCCCTCTCTCTGTACTTTTTGTTTTTTGTGAAAGAAACAATTTCATTGATGTATGAAATTATAAAAGTCCACAATGGAGAGCATTTACACCAAGTAATGACTAAAAAGACTATATTTTCAAAAAGTCTGTCAAATGGGAGGGATTTATCGTTGAATAATAAAATAATCCCTCTCTCTGTACTAAGTAGTGGAAGTTTGCATAAATAATAAAATAGATCATAAGTTAACTACCACAGGAGTATAAGATAAATGCCCACATTGGAATCAAGTCAAGCACCATTATGATGGCAACCATCCCTCTCTCTGTACTAAGTAGTGGAAGTTTGCATAAATAATAAAATAGATCATAAGTTAACTACCACGGGAGTATAAGATAAATGCCCACATGAGCTTTAGCTCAGCGGTTAAAGGCACCTTGCTTCTTCCCTAGAAATTGGAGGTTCAATCTCACATCTCATATTTGTTGTACAGAAAATAAGAGTATAAGATAAATAATTATTATCCATCGATGACAGGTAAATACCTCTCCTGCATAATGATGGACAGTGAAGGCTTTCCCGCGTTCTCCTCTAAAAGAAGAATTAGGACCCAAATGCTGCTTAAGCTTGTTAGCAAAGGTCAGATCTGTGCCGTTTGGAAAAGTAGACTCCTCGTCTAACAGGGACAACAATCCCAAAGGTTTCTGCGTAGAAATTACAAAAATGCTTAGGAAAGCATGACGTACAATTTTTCAAATAGAGCATCACTAATTTAGAAAAGTCCAAACTAATAACACAGAATGACATCATCGCTTGTTAGGCTACTACTCAGATGGACTATATCAGACATTAGCAACTTCAACAGTTACATAGAATATTTAGGACACTTCAGTTTATGACTTCATCTGACAATGAACCAGGGCCTAGATGGCATATAAGTTTCTTTTTTATGTATGAAAGGCCACAAGGGAAATAGAAAAATAGATGACACATAAGTGGCATGGAATTGCTCTTACAATCACACATAATATGCTGATTTAAAGTAGCTATGTTCTGAGACAGCAAACTAAAATCAGTGAACTCATGATAAAGTATATCAGCCAAAAGGTGATCAAAATTTGGCGACATACAACTTACAAGTTATTAGAAAGATCAGAATATGAAGAGAAAATAACCATAAATACTAAAAAGACCAAGAGATGGTAGCAGAAAGAATCAAGTTTTAACAAATTAAAAACTCAATACCTTTTCAAACAGACTGAGACAATCTTGGTTGTCGTCAAAATCAACTTTTGCCCAGTCAATGCCATCTTGAATATATTCCTGAAATATATTGTAAACTTCAATGTACAGCATAAGAATAAGCTTGTCCAATAGGAAGTAAAAAATGAGACAAAAATCTTGCTATAGTTCCTTTTTCCCTTTCTATTAGCCAACATAGGCACTTTGACACTGGACATGACGTACTAAAACTCTGATCCGTTACCCAAAGTTCAGAACTACACATGTTACAGACTTACAGTTTACATTTTGATATTGTTATGACCTGTTCCCCGGCAAGGATTCACAATTCCATGATTCAGTAAGCTTTATTTTTTTGTTCCATTGCCATCATTAGGTCATTTTAAGAAATTTTGTGCAAACAATTTGTTAGACCACAAATCATAAAGACATATAATAGGAAGGGCAAAGGGGTAATTGTAGATGGCCATAACGGCCAAGAGAGAGAAGATGGTACGAGTGGGGCCGTTGTCTATAAGGCTACGGAATGTAGGGGGGAAGGAATCATTCTAGTTTTCGGTGCTTTTGCAGCTTTTGTAGTAGGTTGGAGAGATTACTCACCCTCTCGGATTGGTGGGTCGGTTTTCATTGCCTAAGGGCTCTTGTGTTGTTTTGTATTGCCTACGGGCTCTTTGCTAAGGAATCAAACAGCTTGTGAGGATTGATACCTCACACAATTTTGGTGAAGGACAAGTAGATAAAAGTTCAGAACTACACATGTTACAGTTTACATTTTGATATTGTTATGACCTGTTCCCCGGCAAGGGTTCATAATTCCATGAGCTTTATTTTTGTGTTCCATTGCCATCATTAGGTCATTTTAAGAAATCTTGTGCAAACAATTTTGGTGAAGGACAAGTAGATAAAAGCTATGACATTTCTCCCAAATTATATTCCCAAATTACACCAAAACAGTACATTCAGATAATAGCTACTCATTCATCATAACTTGACACATATTGACCTCAATATTTTCTGAATTAGGAACAAGAGAGAGGTGAATAAGTCGTTACATTTCAATTAAACCTAACCAATTGAGATCATTTCTACTTAATTAGAGTATAATAATTGAACAGTTACCTCCTGCTCTAGCTTAAATAAATGACGATTAAAATGCTGCTGTAGTCTCTCGTTTGCATAGTTAATACAGAACTGCTCAAAACTATTCCTCTACAAAAGCAAGGAATAGATAGGGAAAAAATATTAGAAGAAAGATCCAGACACGCGCACATCAAGTAGAGAGAAAAATTAAAAGCATAAATGAGGCATACATCAAATGATTCAAAACCATAGATATCAAGAATGCTGATGGATCTGCCAGTGCGTCGTTTGCCTACAGCAAGAGATTTGTTAATTTGTTCCACCAGCCAGTCAAACAAACAAGCATAAATTGACTTTGCCAAAGCATCTCTAGTGTCAACTGCCTGCAAATGAAAAGAAATAAAAAAATGTAATCTGATGCGGGAGCTTTCACAAAGATCAAATCAAATGCGGTATTCCATAATCAGTCAGATAAAGGAACGACTATATGTTCTACTTAAGTTCATAATATTAAGTAAGGTTAAAACTCTATTTTGGTCCCTAAACCACATGTGATGATAGAAATGTATAACAATGCAAGACTGACAAAGTATAAATTCAAATGCAGTGCTGAGTGCACACCAATGAAACCAAAAAAAAGGAAAACAAGCACTAGTTATGTTATAAATTGCACAACCCTCAGTGTGTATGGACCTCAACAAAATTGTGCCGAATAGTATAGCCAAGATATGAGGCACCACCACTATAGGTCTCATATGACAGAAGCCCATTGTATAATTAATTCCACTACAACTTTTCAGCATAACCTTTCCACCAAAATCACTCATAGTCATATTATATGCATCTAAAAAATTTTGCTATCAGTTGACAAAAATCTTTGAACAAAAAGGAATTTAACAGCAAATTTCTACTTTAAATTTGTAGTTCTAATTAAACTAAAACTGTTATTATAAATAATCATTATTGACTCATAACTTGGAGGTGCCTAAGATTGTACTTTACTGAGAAGAATCAGTTTCCCCCTTACTTATCTATGCTATGTACACTACACAATATAAATTAATAGGTTTTCATGGAGAAGTTTCTTGCCTGAGACAAAGTAAGCTTTTGAACAATGCTGTCATTACCAACTCTCATTTTTCGAGTTGATAAAGCTAGCTTAAGCTCCTCAACCTCACACTCAATCAGTTTAGCAACTGTCTGTAAACCTGAAAATGGTAATACGATAAAAGAGCATAAAGCTCAAGATATAAGGTACAACAGAACGTGAATAATTAAAAAGAAGCCAACTACGTAGTTACTTACATTATATCATGCAAGTAAAAACTGTAATTACAAGTAGAAGAATGATCTCGTAAATCACTAAAATGGAAGAAACGTAGAATAAAGAAAGTCATAGATGTAGTTCTATAAATTGATCCCAAGGATGAGAATGACTCTTTATGAAACTATCAATTTACATTTATGTAGAATGGTTATCTCTTTGCACTCCATGATATTAACCACAATTTTTATCCCCCTTTTTTAATTATAAAGATAGAACGATAATGAAATTCGCCTTCCTACAAACATGAGACAGAATGAAAACCACCAAAATTGCATTATCAATTTATCATTCTGGAAAATTATGATCTTGGCTTATCATTTGTTCATTTTGGGTCATGTGATACCTAGTTAAACTCCTTTATAGGTTATACCACACAGTTATTCATAAGCTACAAAAGCATCCCTTTGTCATTATTACTAGCACCAATATTAGTTTTATGATAATTTAGATCTCGGGTAGTCTCACATATGAATATGAGTTAGCACAGAGGATGAAGAAAGTTTACTAGCATGCTCAAAACCATGCTACAAAGTACAGAGATAGTTCACTATTGGAAATTATTACCTTCATCGTCCACCACCTCGACATGATTCTCATTTTCAATCACACTAAAGGAAACATTTCCCAGCCATAGCACAGCAGCAAGCATTGCAAAAACACTGTGCTGATCTTCTTTGCTGATATGGACGACATCTAATGCTTCCTGAGAAGTAATGACAAGCACATTCACAGTAAAATTTCTACTTCAAACAGATAAAGACTTAGTAGAACGGATCCAATGATAGTTGGTCAGGACTGATGGATACAATCAAAAATTGAAAAAAGTTACCGTGACTACACGAAACTCTTCAGCATCATTAACTCTAGTTATTGAAAAACAACTGCTCTGATTGAGATATTTGTACTCTTCAGCACTTCTCAAGTTTAGCCTCTCTGCACACCAAAGTTAAACCTAAGTTAAACTTAGATGAGATGATGCCTTAGAAAATGAGAACAAGATATCTAGCTGAAATTTGGGATACAAGTCTGTACTTGGGGAGAATTTGGAATAACTTTTAGAATAGTGACTTTTGAAAATTCTAAAACGCTTAAATGCTTTTAAAGAAAGCACTTTATTTGTGTTCTTTTGGCTTATAAAAGAAGTGCACAAGTGCCACTTCAAAATCATCTCAAACTCATTTTTAAACCGGATAGAATGTTATTTAGAACAAATAGCCTACTAAGCAAACAACATAGTTTGTAGTTGTACTATTTTGCTATCAAAATAATCTAGTCGTATCTAGTCCAAAAAAATTTTTGGTAAGTTCATTAAAACCCATACAGCAAGCTATAATACCCTTGGTGGTATTTTTTATCAATTCATAAAGCATATCCAAAAAGGCAATTTATAGTTTCAAATAGATTAAAGAACTTCAAGAGTTCAACATAAGGACAAGAGAACCTAACTACTTTTTCCTTATGCAAGAAATTTTCAGCCACGGAATAAAAATTATATCTTCTGTGCAACCATTTACCGGAGCGAATATCAGAAATGTGAGACTGTAGCAAGGGGAGAACAAGTACATGCACTTAACTAAATTATAATTTAAGTAATTTTTCTTTTGCTAGAATGTTTTGCATATAATTCGTGTAAAAAAATAAGAAAAAAATATAATTTTAATTCTAATTTTGAAAAACTACCACTCTGGCATCCAACTCTAGGATAGGAAACATCAAAAGATTTAAATTTATTAAACTTTCTACTAAATATTTCATACTTGGGACCAATATCCAAGCCAATACCATCCTGGCATTCAAGCCTCAGCCACTAGGCCATTCTTGGGGTGGGAAAACCATATAAATTTGAAAAGACAAAAAGAATGCGTAAAAATATCTGCAAATTGGAAGAGAGAAGTTACCTTTAAGAGCAGGTGGAGCCCCACTACAAAGCTGATAAAAGATGTGGTATGACCTCTCTCCCTCCATGCATTGGACAACTCTCGACTGTTGGAGAAATAAATCACTCTGAGTAATTTGTTAAAAATGAATCAGAGCAGGCACATTAAAGGGTGGACAAATAGATTTACCTTTTCAAGCAAAACTGTCCATAATTTATCAAGAGCAGCACAATTCAAAAACAAAGTCAGATTTACCATCTCAAATAAAATATCCATTGAAAATTAATGCAGAGTCCTAAATACATAAAGCTTACAAGTTTGAATAGTTGCACCGGATATTTTTCCAGTTTCACTAAAATGGATTTCAATCAATTTTCCCTGCAAATGTTAAATGAAACTTCAAAAAGGCTGAACCTAAAATTGCAAGTATATAGCCACTTTCATGTAAAGATCTATATGAAATCAACAACATGATATAGAAGCTTACGAAGCGGCTTGAGTTATCATTTCTCAATGTTTTTGCATTTCCAAAAGCTTCTAAGATAGGATTGGTCTTTAATATCTCGTATTCTATTCCACTTCCACCTCCAAGGGCAGCCAAATATTGCATTGCTATCTTTGCTGTTTCAGTTTTTCCAGCTCCACTTTCACCACTGAATATCAAGGCATTAAAATGACATGAAATATAAGGAGAATATGAAATCACCTTTATGCTATTTACACCACCCGCATGTTATTTTCATGATACAAACGAATGGTCATATGGAAAACATCAATACAAAGTATTAGCTCTAAGAGACATACCACATGGTTGGTTATATATTGTGTTGCATAATCTATCTGAATAGCTGAATGATTTAGATTGTAAAGACTGAAGATATTACTACGATAGAAACTGAATCCATTGGAATAAGTCCCCAGAGAGACTATAACCTACTGCTCAAAGAATATTTAAAAGAAATTTCTTTGCTCTTTGAGATGAATGCTATGCTTATATGCTTGAGTAAATAACTAAAACTTGGAGAGAATAGAAAGGAATTAGAGGGGAAAAAAAGGAATGTGCAGAAGTGGAAAACATGCACCAGCATTACCTTATTATAATTGATTGGTTTACTTCATCTGAAATGAAAGAAGAAGAAGGGAAAAGAAAAACTCAGTTAGAAGTAGACAAAATAACAGCCTAAGCATAAATTTGATCGAATGCAATATTAAGGGCGTCAGGAAACCTCGAATCATTTCCCTTATGGCTGTATCTGTAATGGCATAAACGTGTGGGCTCTGTACTGTTTTGCGCTTGTATGCTTCAATGTAATCACTTCCGTACAAATCGACTTTCTTAAAAGGGTTGATAGCAACCAGAACAGGCCCTGCTTTTGTCTGAAGTTTCAAAAATCATACCCAAGCCATTACATTAGAAAGATTTTAAGCAGACCCTCGACTAACCATATAACACATTTTCTGACACTCACATATATGATATCTTGATTATATCTGTACTCAAGATCATATAGTACTGACGGCTCGTTTAAATAGCTAAGTTGCATAAGATCATCAACACCATCAAGGATATCTGGATTTGCAGGAATCAAACTTTCAGCTTTCACCTTCAACACCTGCAACCATTCACCCAGTATAGGCAATCAAATTTCAATAAGCTCCAAACAGCTAAAATTTCTTAAAATTTCAGTTCTGTTACCTTTCCATCAGACAGTGAAACTACTGACTCCGTCCCTGGAGTTGACAATATCTTTACAAGATCCCAGTTCCCATTTGGAAGTTTAAACCAAGATTGAACTGTCTGAAATAGAAAAGTTGAGCAAATGGACTTTAAATCAAACACTGGATATTTGAATAGGAGTAGCCAACTAAATAAAATATCGGTTCACAAGATTATGATCAACTGAGAAACTTGTTGGTTCAAAATAGCTTAGAGAAAATGAAGAACGCCGTATACAAGATCATATATGCAAGTGGGAGATTGTTTTTAACATACCCACTGTGAGTTTATGAAATAACATGTCAGAATCAGAATGAAAATGTAAGTTAGATGAGATGCATGAAGAAAACAGAAGTTAATTACGCATGAACTGCTAAATTGCAAGCAGGAACGAAGTCTCAAATAAAATGACTCTACAAACCAAATGTAACTTATTCATTTCCAGAATGCAAACACATAATACAAACATTTAAACTACTCAACCTCCAGACTTCATAAACCCAAGTTTATAACGATCGTGAGCCAAACAACTCAAATGAAAATCGACTATTATGCATCCTTTTTATATAATAAATTAAACGAGGAAAGGGGAAAAAAGTACTAGAATAAGGGAAAGAATGAAATATAACTCAGGATGAAACCATAATGACCATGATTATAATGAGATTAAGTAGGTAGGAATTATAATATATCTTTCCAGTAATGGTGAACTAAAAATAAAATCTCAGCTACCAGTATCCTCTGATTATAATAGATTTGAAATTCAAAGTGTCAATATATGACCCAAAATACCTTCCTTGTCGTGTAGGACGATGTGTCATCCCACCTGCGTTCACTATGCGAAGCTGAGATTGAAGGTGAAGGTAAAGGCATAAAACCATCTTCTCCATCATCCAAGGTGGGTCTTTCTTCAACTGTTTCAATATTGCAATTATATGGTGAATCCTCATTCAGCTCATCAATATTGTTAATACTGTATTGAAGTCGAGTGACGGCATCATCTCCAGAAGCACCATTCACACCATCAACTAACGAACTAGCTTCCATGTTTTTCACATTCCGGTCATCAGACTCTTCCAAAGTTTGTGGAATCATAAACCGGGAATTAACTGGCATGGATTTAATCGATTGTAATGAAATCATCGCCTGAGATTTCCGAGACATATTCCTGAAAATTTATGCATAATGGCAGACTGAGCATTGGCAGGTGGCATAGGTAACAACATTGCGATTAAAAAGGTTACTTTTCAACCAAAAAGAAAAGGGAAAAAAAAAGAGTCTAATCAAACAAGTAAGGTCCCACGCGAACGACTCATCTGACGAACTAAATGGCGGGGACCATGCTCTAAGATTAAGATGCAGATTAACTGATCCTTGTTAGTCGGCCACCATTGACAAGTTCAACACCAAAGGAAATCTCATTTTAAAAATATCCCAAGCTAACCCAGAAAGAAAGAAAGTTGATTCGAATCAACTGTACAGATACAATGACTCTGATTTAACCCAAAAACTCCGAAATTGAGACTCCTCGATCTGTGTGCTTACTACCGATTAGAGCTAGAGCTGCTTCTTCAATAGATCTTTTTGTCCAATCCACCCATTGGTAGCTGAAGAAAAATCCCAATAAAGGTGGTGTCGAATTTGGAAAGTGAAAACATTGAATTGAAATCGAGCTCAACCAAAAATTACCAGTCTGCCCAAACTAAACATGAACATAAACATAAACATAAACATCAACCAATACTCATTTCCTTTGTTTCCTGAGCAATCCAGGAAGGGTGAATACTAATGCATTAATCTAAAACTCATCCGCTTACCTCTTCAACAAAGCGACAGGAGTAATTGTTGGGGAAAATTGGAGGCAAGATCGAGTTTCCGAGAAGTAATTAAACGAAAATCTAGTGGGAGGCTCAAACAATTCAGACAGCGCGAGCGCGGAAATCCGATGCAGGCAGCTGAAAGAGTTGTTTGAGTAAAGAGATCGCTTCCAATGAGGGTTCAGGCAGACCTAGAAACCGCATGTAGGGTTGTGGAGGAGAAAAATCAGGGCGATGGCAGGCAAGATGTGTTTGGATTGCGAGAAAGTTGAACAGAAAAATGGAAAAGAAAATCCAAAGCGTGTAGAGATGGAGCAGCTTTTTTGCCTTGCTTTGCTTCACAGAAGAAAAAAAAAAGAAAAATTTATTATTGAATTTGAATTTGATTCGCATTCAATTTTTCATGCCCAATCGAAATTTTGAAGTTTTGGGGGAAATTCTTTTTCTTTTTTGTTTTCTTTTTTGTGTCGGAGGAGATTTTACCTTTTGACGAAATTGCCCCCTGAACTTTTATGAGCTGGCGGTCGTGTCCCCAGAGGATTAGAAAGCACTGAAATGACTGCTCACGAATAAGGATGTTGGGATGTCAAAAAAAAAAATTAAATAAAATAAATAAGGATGTTGGTCTAATAATTGTTTATTAAAAAAAAACCAACAAATTTATAAATTATAAATATAAAATTGATGTAAATCTAGTCTCTAAATTTCCGAGACTTAATTCAAAGTTCGTCTGAAATGGGGTAAAAAAAATGACGTGGATTGGTTGAACCAGAAATAATTCGACCACATCATACTTAATATTTAAAATAAAATGGACCTTACAATGATTTACCAGACATATCTACTCGTCTCCTTACTAATTGATTTTGATATTGAACCATATGAATATTAATATGACATCAATATCGCTACATGTATACGTTCTACAAAATTTTACTATGTATCTCACGACATAGTCTAAATCTAAATAATGCATTAACCTTGAAACTCACGACTTCTTGACCAGATATATGTGTTAATTACTATTGAATTATGCTCGTTTTGACTCATAAAAGTATAATAACAACCAACAAGTACTAAAATAGTTATGGCTAAAATATATAGTTTCTAAGTATTGTGAATCAAAATATAATAAATTGCAAATAATAATAAAAATTGAAATAATTTTATTACAAATTAATATTTGACCATACTTTTTCCTTACTTAATTATTGGTCGTATATACATTATTCTTTCTTGTAAATTTTGAAATTGCTTTTTGTGTTATAAGGCAATGATTAGATGTCTCTTATTTTAAGTCTTTCTAAATTATTCATGAATTATTGTTTTAGTTAATTATTGGATAACAGCTATCAATTGAATAATTAGGAATAAAAACCATTTGTTAGTTTTTACCGTTTTCCTGCCTTCTTTGTCTTTATTTGTTGTTATTATTATTATTTGTTTTTTTTAGTACAGTTATTATTATTATTTTGTTTATTAGACAATTGTGGGTATAAATTATACCATCTCAGTAATTTAAATTAGTTTTAACCACTAAAATATAACGTTTGAAATAATTAAAATACCTTTGCAAAAAAATAAATAATTAAAATAGACCAAATCTATACCTGTAATGAACATGTTTTTTTTGTCTTTTTAGTTAACAAATTGCAGATGTGAGAATCAAATATTTTAAATTCACATGTTAAATTTATTATAATTTTTAAATAGTAATTTTTAAATCTTTTAAATTCACATATCTATTAAATATAAAAAAATATTAGCCATGTTGAATACCTTCTCTACTCATTAAGATTGACATTATATCTATAATATACGAAGACGTATGATTGGTGTTTCAGTGCATGTTATTAACCGAAGGTTTAATAAGTTTTAATTTTTTTCAATTTACTAATTTTAGTGAGATAAATGATGACACGATAGCTAAATAGTTATTTTTTTCCCTAGGAAAAATATATATATAGGAATAGTTAAATAGTTATACTCCTACCTTATCTTGTCTATATTTGACATAAATTTTTTTTTATTTAACTTTTGATTTTCAAATTTTTTTTCTCAGTTCAACCAGTGGGAGATGGAAGATTCATACATCATTAAATTTGGAATGATAATTGTGAATTATCCACTTAATTATGATTGGTTTAGTCACTCAATAAGTCTATATATCATTTTTAATTACATGCCACCGAGACATTATTATCATTCTCAACAGAGAATTGACACGATGGTAATTTGGGCAGCATTTTTTAATTACTCATTAATAGCCGGGACCATTATAATTCCGAAATACAAAACTATAGATATTAAATAAATTTCATTAGAATATAAAGTCAAAAGTTGATACATGCATACCTATAGACTCAATAGTCCAATTTTCTGATTGGTAAAAGATTAAAATTACTTTCTTATTTTCATGGATTCGGTGAATAGTTGCTTGAGATATTTGTTTTCGAATCAGGTAATTCAACTAGTGGAAATTCTAAATTCATTATTTTCAAATTTTAAATGCAGAACTAATTTTTAAGAAAATATAAAAACTTTGATAAATATACCACGTCACAAGTCACGTAATAAATTCATTTTATTTATGTCAAAATTTAAATATGTAAAATATATTATATTATAAGTTATATAATATTGTAAAATAATAAGTGTACAAAATTTATAACATATATATTAATTAATTAATTAATAATATTTTAGATTGAACTGAATACAAATATATTAATAAATTGAGCTTAAATTTCCAAATATGCTATCGAACACGTATTCGAAAACACATAAACGGAAAGTACAACTTTGGTTTTAATTGAATCTCTTATTTTCATATTTATGTTTTCATATCACCAATCGAACGCATTATAATTATTTTTTTTTGCATAAACTAAAATTCCGAGTAAATGGGGAATGTTTTTTTGTTTAAACGGTCTGTTAAACTAATTTGAAATTTACATTTATTTAAAAACTTTTTTTTTAATATTGCAGTTTTTATATGAAGCTTCAAACCTCCAATCAAAATAATAATTTAAAATTAAGGGAAAAAATAGCAAGCACGATCCACGTGGAAAAACTGTTTCTTCAAACGCGATTTTAGATTTAACAAATAAAACTATGATATTAAAATATAATTTAAAAATAAGTTTTTAAAATAATAATATTAAAAAAATCAGGCACGGCGTGTTTGGATCGGAGAGCAATCTTAGAAAAATGTATGAATTGATTGGGAAATCTTGTGAATGTGTAGGGGCAAAAAGGTCATTTAGGGTCGAAGATTGTATTTTGACGAAGAAGCGCGCGGAAAGGGCAGCGTAATTAATGGGAACGGAGGGAAGCATATAGATACGACGGCGTTTAGGTCCAATAATGGGCGGCAGAGAGTTTAAAAATTAAAGGCAAGATCCGGGCACACATTGCTTAGCGTGGAAGCGGGAGCAGATGATTATGGCTCCCAATGGCCGGGCAGCGTATGGTTTTAGTTGATGGGTGTCTCTCTCTCTCTCCCTCTTTTCATTTTTTAATTGTCGTTTTCCGATCCGACATGTCACGCTGACGTGTCCCCCCTGTGATTATCATAGCGCCCAACTGGGTCCCACCCATCAAAAGTTGGATCTTGTAATATAATATGACCCAGGCCACACCTCTACTAATTAGTATTTATTTATTTACTTTATTTTAAATGTTAAATTCTTCCCTCTCATTTGGGGATTTTAATTAGTATATAATAGTCCAAAGTATTTTAAGATTTGTGTTATATATATTTTTAGATTGGAAGTTTGAATTTTTTAAGTATAACAAATGAAGAGAGCGTTAACAATTGAACGATAATGTGATTGACTTTTTATTGTGGGATATGTATGAGTAATCCTAAAATAGTTATATGTTTCTTGGACATCTATTGGTATGAGTATCTAAGTATGGTAACGGGTTTAGTAAGATATGATGAGTATATTGGTTTAAGTACTATTTTAGCTATATATATATATATAGAGAGTACTATTTTGGTCAATGTTCCTTTCAAAACATATATTTTCATTTTTATATTTTTAACTTTTGTTCATTTTAGTCATTGTACTATCAAAACGTTTTGAAGTTTACAGCTACATTTCAATAACTTTAGTGAGTGAAATGTCATACTAAATTGTTGAAAATGAGATAAAAATATAATAAATTGACCAAAATGATCACTTTTTAAATTACTGATATCAAATTAGACTTCTTGAAAGTATTAAGTTGAAAATACAAGTGTCAAAGTGAATATCTTAAAAGTGTATGGACCATAACCAAATAAAACAAAAAATATAAAGATCAAAATAGAGACTGGAATTAGCTAATTGTAGAGTAAAATGTAGGGAGCATCCATCCCAATGAGAGAAAATTATATAAAACTTCTCTCTATATGATATGCAACTTAGAATACCTATTTATTTATTTTTTTTAGTATGACAAATTAGAAGTACGACGTTTGAACATTCGACCTCAAATAAATGAGTATGTATCGATTATTGCGCTCATATTGACCTCAAATACCTACTTAAAGTTTAAAGGCAATAGACCCATCCTCTACGAAGATTTATTTTTATTTTTAAAATCAGAGACTATTTTGCTTGAGTTGATTCTATAATTTAAGAGTTTCCTATGATTGACCATCTATTTCCAAAAGGGGAAACTTTTTAATACAGAAATTAAGAAACTAAAAAAAATTGTTAGCCAAAGTAGCTGCAATGAATAAGCAATTATAGATAAAGATCTCAAAAGATAAATCAAACTTGGATTTATTCCATACATAATCATAAAAAGAGATATACAACCAAATTTAAGTGATTCATTTATAAAAAGAAGGACCTTTTTTTTTTGACTGATCAACTAAACAATCAAATAAAATAAGTTTGATTATTCTATAAAAGGAATTGAGTGTATATTCCATAAATAATCATAGGACCCATTTGTTTTAAAGTGCATTTTGATGTTTTTTTTGTTTAAATCTAAAAAAAAAAATGGTTACATGTACAAAAGTAAAACCTAGCATTATTTTGTCTCAAAAAAAAAAACTTAGCATTATTTAATGAAGACAACCCACCTAAATTATTAGTCCAACTTGGTGGGGTTTATAAAATTAACAACCCATCTTTTTTTTATTCTTTTTTTTTTTCAAGTAGCTAAAATTTTGTTGTCATCACAACCCAATCAACGAAATATTAATAATGAAAATCTACGCTACCTATTTGCAATTTAATTATTTTATGGTTGATATTCTTTATTAATAAATAATTAAGTTACATTTATTTTCATATGTTTTTTTTAGTACAACATGTTGGGGTGGGATTCGAACTCACAATCTCTCCGCTGGAGGTATATGCCAATTACTGCTGAGCTATGCTCACTTTGATATTTATTTTTAAATGTTTGATTGCCTGTATAGGTAACATCTTATGCATGAAGTAAATGAAAAAAAATGCTTATATTAGATTTTTTAACTATAATTTACAATTTTTTTTTTGAAAAAAATTGAACTATTAAGACAGTTAGGCTAAAGTTAAATATTTTTCTTTTCAATTTGTAGTATATATTGTCTAAGATATTAAAACTTTTTTCCATTAAATTTGAACTTATCATTATCCAATTTTAACATACAGCAACGATTAGATATAATTGAATAATATTAAAATATAAGAGACTCAAATAATTTTTTAAAAATTAATAATTAAAAAAAGAAAAATCAGAATAAAGGAAAAAGCTGAGGGCCAAGCAAAATGGGGCGAGGGTAGGAAGGCTACAGTAGCTCCACATGGGCTGCCCTTGTACGAACCGAACCGGAAGAACCAACCCAGCGACCGGTCCGTCCCTCAGACCACAAACGCCAATTTCCAATTTTGTCCTCTCTCTTCTTTGTATTTTTTTCTTCCGTAGATTTTTAATTTACAAAAGTATTTGGTTTGATTTTAAATGTATATTTATTTTAGGACATCATATTCTCAACCTCGAACAAGATTTTTCGAACCACACAAATTTTCCAAACCAAAACTTATTTCAAGATTGTTGTTTGAATCCAACAGTCTCTCGATGTTAGTTTGGTTGTATTTTATGAAATTGATTTGCAAACCAATATAGAGAGCAAAATAAAAAATTACAAGTTTTGATCTTTTATATTTTACAATTTATCAAATAATTAAGTCCAATATTAACAACTTTATAATAATTTTCAATGTTGTGTTTTTAAATTTACTAACATTTGATCTTTCTGAACTTTTCAATTTTGTGTTTCTTAGATCGTGACTTATCAAAGTCCGAAGACTTATTAGACACATAGTTGAAAATTCATGGACTTATTAGGTGACTTCTAAGATTTAGGGATATGTTATATACCATCATAAAACTAGTTCAATTATCAAACATGTAATTTAACCCTTGTTCATGAGGATCATGTGCCATTTAGAACGGGTGGCCGTAGAATAAATGAGCCTGCAACAACGAGTCTCAATACCAGTGCGGTGCCCTGTCTAATACCCTCAAACAACCAAGTTAGTAATTAGAGAAAAAGGAAACGGTAGGCACCTTAGTAGTTTAGTGACAAACTTTCTACTTACTATGTGGACACGGAATTCCGTCTCTTTTATAGGTGTTGGGGCCAACTAGGAAGGACGCTTCGCGTGTGGCGTAACGTACTAGATTCCAACGAGCCGTTAGGGGACATTCCCAGGACGTGATAGTAGCACCGCTGCTTGTTGCCATGTCCTACTTCAAGGATGTGCCGCGCCTCTCGTAGTTCCTGACGGTACCAACATGCCCGCAGAGGGTTTGGTCCCTACTACCAACTGTCGCCACTCAACCCTCACACGTCTCCTGCTCGATTTTTACCCTCAATTGTCCAAACGAAAAAAATGAAAATAAAGGTATTTAGAAGAAGAGAAAGTTGAATAGGAGGTTTGATTTTGAACCCCACATTATTTGGTTGGTGTAGTGGGTTTCAAGTGTCAAGTTCATATGTTAGAAAGAGAGAGAGACTTGAAAGGGTACAAAATGAATGATTGATAATTTATGAGGATACAAAGAAGTATGGTATTTTTAATTAATATTGGGGAATTTTGTCAAAGAAGAAGAAAAAAAAAAAGGGACCACAAAACAAAATGAAAGTGACAACATAAGACTTACACAAACTCTGCCCTTTTGGTTTGGTTCCTTTCCTGCACAACTTCAAATGCATTCTCCATTTTGCAGGCGGGAGTTTCTCATTTTTAAAATCACAAACTTTGGATTCTTATGAATATTAAAGTATTCAAACATCTAATCAAATTTATCTCGACGATACTGAATTTAACATAGATATCAGATCACACGATTCTAAATTTGGCATCATTGTGCCGTATCAGGGTTGTTCGAGGCATGAATTTACTTTAGGGAAAGAGTTACCAAATTAAAGTTTTGAGAAACTCATAGGTCTGAAGTGTTTATTGCTTCAATTCCCTCGCATAGTTTTTCTAAATCCAAGATTTTTATTTAAATTTTCTAAATTTGGACTTCCTAAATCTTTCTCGTAAATTTCTAAGTTTAAGAGAGTTAAATCAGCCTTCCAAATGTCTCTAAAACTACCCCGGTAAAGAGGAAAAAAAAGGTAAATTATTAAAGTAACCCTTACCAATAATATCTTATTACTATATGTTGAAAAAAATAAATCAAAGGATCATCTTTAGTGACTTTTCTTTTTCAAAATCACAAACATTTACACTTTAGATAATTATATGTTTGAACAACCTTTTTATTATTACTAAAAGAAAAAAAAAACGATAATTGCGTTTTAAAAGATCAAAGATAAGTTAAAAAATGGTGTAGCTTCATTCTAATTCAAATGGGACGAAGACGATCCAGGTGTACAAACATGTAAACATTCAAGTTCAAGTTCAAAAAGGAAAAGCAAACTTCTTGCAAAAGTGTGAATTATCCACATACAATTGTAACAACACAAATGACTTTAAAAAAAGGTATGAAAATTGGACCAAACTCATCACATGCATTAGAAGAAGAAGAAGAAGAATCTATAGGAAGAGAATAAAGGGTAGGGCATGAATGTTTCCATGTGTTTATTTTCCCATGACCCACCAATAATTTACACATTTCTTATTCTAAAAAAACAATAATAATATAAATATATATATATATATATATATATAAATTACACATTTCTTTTGTTCAAAAAGTGAAATTAAAGAGAGAGATGTTGGAGTAATTGTAATTTTTACAACTATTACAACTTTGAACTTTGTTGTAAAGGTAATATTGGTAGTTAATGAGATTAGTTGAATGAAACATAATAGTTTTTATCCAATTGTTTGTTGATAAATGATTTCTGGTTTGCTTAAGCAGAAATATATGGAGGTAGGAATTCGAACTCAGAACCTCTTAGTCAAATGCAATAGTATTTCTATTTTTACTTTTTGTTTTTTTTCATTTTCTCAATAAAAAAAATTAGAATTATGTTAGGTAACTATTTGTTATTTCTAGTTAAAAATAAACAAAAACATATTTGGGAATAATTTATTTTTTCTTGTTTTACAAAATTTTAAATTAAAAATTAAAAAGTACGGGTTTTATAAGAAAATTAAATTTCCAAATTAAATATTCCAAATTTGTATGTTATATATATTTATTTTATATATCAATTATGCATTTTAACCAAAGCGAGCATAGTTCAGCGGTAATTGACATATATCTAGAGATTGTGAGTTCGATCCCTCACTCCCACATGTTGTACTCGAAAACAGAAACAAAAAAGAGAAGTTTATTTTTATTTTTTTAAAAAACGTTTTTAAAAAATGAAAAACGAGAAAAGGGGCAACCAAGACCCTCTACTCTAATAAAGTTCGGTGAGAAAGCAACCAACACCTTGTCTTGTATAAGTCGGACTTTGTTTATACTTTTTAAATTTTAGAAATGAAAAACAAGAAATAAAAATGTTACTGAACGAGTCCTAAACAAACAATTTAGGGCTCGAATTCGGTTCCTTAGACCCGTCTTCCAGCCAATGCATATGAGAAAGAAACGATCAAAATGCAGCCTCCATTGCTGCAACTGAAGCTCTCCCCCATTCTCTGAAATTCGATTTCAAAAGCTAATCAAACTCAGCTGTTCATAAATTTTTAAAAATATATAATATTAATGAAAAGACAAAAGAAAGAGAAATCCATGGGGGTGTGGTTTGGCAGAGCAGCCATTGAAATTGAATTATTAAAGGTCATGGCTTGCTAAGTGTCACATGACCCTTTTAACCTTTTTTGGGGTTCTGAAAAAGGAAGTTCAGATAACAGATTCACTGATTCATCATCTTTTTTCTGTCCTTTAAAAAAGCTTTTTTGCTTTTAAACCTCATTGGAGTTGTTTTTCAGAGTTTAGATCCCACTCAAATTACCCCACTCTCCCCCAACTTTACATTATTATTATTATCATGCACCAAATCCAAAAAAAAAAAAAAAAAACTTAAGTGGTTACGAGTCAGCACTCTACCGTTAATTTTTGACAAATAGAGAAGCGAATGAGTTTGAGATTAGTCTAAGTGTGCATAAGCTGGTTCGGACACTCATGGATATAAAAAAAAATATATATAAACACTTGAATATTGTTAAAAAAAGAATCATCGTACTATTCTAGTACATGATTACTAAAGTCATATTATGGATCATTATAAGTAATAATTTCAGTTGATAGAAATTTTAGTACTATGAAATTTTGTTTCCACTTTTATTATAATATTAGGTCTCTCTAGAATGTTAATTAGTGATTTACTTATTCGAGAGTACCACAAAGCAATTGAATTTATTGATGGTTAAATCATAATTTAAATATGATTAAAGATTCTGTAATGATTTTTTATAATAGAAGTAAATATAATTGATTAGTGAAAATTGATTGAGGTAAATTAATCCATACTATTGTTAATAATTAGTGACAATTTGAATGATGTGTGGCTTCAAGACTGTCCGTCAGAATTTTAATTTCATTTGCATCCTAAAAGGATATTCAATCTAGATCTGCCTAAAATTTGTGAAATTGTTTTTTCTTTTACATTTTTGTAATAATTTTTAACCAAAAAAAAAAAAGACAAAAGAATAGCAACCAAAACTCGCCTCATCAAAGTTTGGCGAGTCAATTTGACCCGACTCATCCATCATTTGGATTGGATATAAATCAATATATTCTAAATTTGGGTCGATCATGGGCCGAAGTATGTGGGCCCACATAAGCCCAATACGAGAAGCCGAAACAAGTCTAATTTCATTGGACTAGGTCCAAAAGGCCCAACCCAAAACCCAACTTATTTTAGATTTTTTCTGACTTGTGTTTTACCTCATTCAAGTCGTTTGGCAAAGAGCCATCTTGTTTCTCACCATATTTTGGGAGCCTCCTCTGTCATTTCACAGCTTTTGAAGCCAAAACTCATCTCACCCACAGACTAGCTAGCCCAATAGTGCTGATGAAAGCTCTTGCAAGGAAAAACAAAAATCGCACCTCACAAACCCTTAACGAACATCATTGAACCAATCTGAACATAACTTAGTGGGATAAGACATCATCTGCCTTCCGATGTTCGATCCTACACCCCCTATTAAAAAAAAAAAATTGAAATCTCACTTATAACTAACAAATGCAAAATTAGACAGGAGAAAAAGAAAAGTGAACAGAAATCAAAATCAAAGGAGAGACCTGCTATGATTGATGTTTTAGTCGTATCTTTCCATTTGTCCATCTCAACAAGAGAAGAGAGGTTGCATCCTTCACAAAAAAAGTTGAGCTAACAATGGGGATATGGTCAGTGACTTGGGGCAATTACTAAAAATAAGTTTAAATTTTGAAAGGAAACCCGACTCACCGTATCATCCTACGCAAGCACATACGTGACGTTCGATGCTTTCGTCTGGCTAGATTGCCTCTTCACTGAAATGATAAGAAAAAGAGTGATTGAATTAATTGAAGGGTGAAGGTAAATGTAGCAACAGCTACTTTTGGAGAGCTTTTGTATTGCAAGTAATGTACCTAAATTTAGTACACTGGAAAACCTTGATGATAACCATGGCAACTCTTGGAAAGAGACTTTTGTTGAGTCCTAAAACAAGTGAAAAGTATCTCGAGATTTCACCATGAGAGTTTTTGCAGCTTTGAAACAATACGTTTTATTGTTTCAAAATCTCACAAAAATGCAACGCTAAAAACTTGAAGGTTCTGCCAGAAATATTTTAGGATTAACCAGTGAATATTATTTTTATATCTCTATTCTGCTACATCCTGGGTCTTTCAGAACCCCCCTATCTGTCATCCCATTTCTTATCGTTGCAGCATCTTCCCAACTATTCCCTTCAGAATAGACCTTTGACAACAATACATAGGCTGCATCATTTTGGGGAGCCAATGAAAGTAATTTTTCAGCAGCCCATTGACCCAATTCTCTATTCCCATAGATCCTACATCCACTGAGCAAAGATCTCAGTATAGCAGGCCAAGGTGGAAAGGGCATTGACTCGATTATATACCGAGCATCATGAAGGAATCCATTCCTTGACAGCATGTCGACTAAGCAACCGAAATTGTCACGAGACGGTATGATATTATAATCTGATTTCATAGTTTGAAACAGAGAATGTCCTTGTTTTATGAGACCTATGTGACCACAGGCTGAAATAACTGAGACAAATGTGGCCTGATTAGGCTGGAGATTAGACATCCTCATTTTCTCAAAAATTTGGATTGCTTGCCAGGCTAGGCCATGATGAGCATATGCCATGATCATAGAATTATATAAAATAACGTCATTGGATCGACATGACTGTTCGAATGCTCGCTGTGCGCTTCCGATATCCCCGCATTTTGCATAGGCATCTATGACTGCACTAGCAACATGCACATGGATGCCAAATCCCATTTTTTCTACAAGCGAATGGATTGCCTTTGTTTGGTGATAAGCCGCACTGCTAGAACAGCCATTCAATATGCTGCCGAAAATAAAATCGTCAGGCTTCTCACCAGATTCCATTAGAATATTCAGAAACATAATGGCTTCATATGTATGATTTTGGTGAACCAAGGCAGATATCATGACTCCCCAGGTCGCGATATCTACACTCTCGAGTTGATTGAAGATCTCAAAGGAACTTTCAAGGAGTCCTATTTTGATGTAACATTTTATCAATGAACAGGAAATATACTTGTGAGAACCAAAACCAACCCTGAATGCAGCACAATGAAGTTGTCTACACATCCATGGGATCTCAGATTTAGATGTAATCTCTACGATGATGGAGTAAGTATATTCATTTGCTTCAACACCAAATCTCCATAGACTGGAAAAGGTTCTGAAGGCTTCCGTATAAGAAGAATTCAAACTATAAGCCAAAAGTAACTGATTCCAAACAGATATAGGTTTGAAAACTACAGAGTCAAATACTGAGAGAACCATCTCCATTAGCCCACATTGAGAAAACATACTAATTATTGAGCTCAGCACACTAGGTTCATCAAGAAAACCCAAATGTACCACAAGAGAACAGAATTGAAACCCAAGTTTGTAATCGAGTAGTGTCCCACATTGCCGAAACAAGGCCGAGAAAGTGATATGGTTAGGCTTCATGCCTTCTAGCATAAACTCACTAAACAAGTTCACGATTTCTTTCATGTTGTTTTCATCACGGAAGCCTCCAAATACAGTATTCCATGATATAATGTCTCTGCTTTGCATACTGTTAAAGGTTTTCAGAGCAGAGTTCATCCTGCCATTTGTCAAGTACATATCCAGGAGAGCATTCATTGCCACGGTGGATATTAATCCACGTCGAAGCATGAATCCTTGAAGCTCTCTTCCAGAGTCCAAATCCCGAATTATCGAGCACGCTTTGAGAGCACTAACAATGGTGAACTTGTCCATCTTCATACTCTTACTATTCATCAAAGATACAACCCTCAAGGCTTCCAAGCCAAAGCCACAGTTAGTATAGCCTCCAATCATGGCGTTCCAAAAACCAACATCTACTCTCTCCATGGATTCAAAAACCAACTCAGCTGAAGCAATATCCCCAAATCTTGCATACATGCTCAGAGTTGAACCACCCACAAAAACATTCTGCTCTATCCCAAGTTTCCAACAAAGACAATGAACACTCAAACCAAATCCATAGGCTCCAACATCCGCGCACGCCTTCATAACGCTACCAAGAGTAAACTCATTAGGCATCAATCCACCCCTCATCATGTCCAAAAAAGTCCCCAAGCAGAATTCAAACCCACCATCCTCGGCCGCGCCCGAAATGATCAAACTCCAAGATACTACATTTCTCAGAGGCATTTGATCGAACACCTTAAAGGCTTCACACATAAACCCACATTTGGCGTACATTTTGATCAGATTATTCATGGAGAAAGTATCACAAGTGAACCCCAACTTGCAAATATGACCATGTACTTGAGCACCAAGAATGGAAGATCTTGCATTTTCAGAGAGAGAAAGAGCAGTGGCAATGGTTGAAGAGTCTGTGCCAACAGAGATATTATAAGATAAGAAGCGCTCAAACAATAGATGGAAATTACGGGCGGCTCTGTTAGCTAAGAGAACGAAGCCACTTCCTAATGCTGAAGTTTTCATGTAAATTGAGGCCAAATTCAAGTAATCATATGGTGGGTAATTAGAGATTTGAAGCAAGCAAATGTAAAAATTGGATCTTTTGTGGGGAAAAAGGTTATTCAAAACTTCGGCAGAAGTGAAAACGATCTTAAAAACTATAGAATTTAAATCTTTTTAATACGTCTGATTTATCACCAAATGCCCCTATAGCTCAGTGGTAGAGCGTCAGTCTTGTAAACTGAAGGTCTGTAGTTCGATCCTGCATGGGGGCATTTTACTTTTTTTCCTTTTTCCTAATATTTAATGCGACATTTTGAAGGATATTAATTAATAATATTTTACATTTTTCAATTTTTATCAAGATTCTTAAATAGAATTTAATGCGACTAAAAAAAGAAAGGAATTTAATGACCATTTTCATTTTTTTCTCTCAACTTTTTAGCACATCTTTTTTTTACTAATATTGAATACTCCATAATATTTAATGACATTATGGAGTCACAAAAAGAAGTATTTTTCATCCCTAAGAAAATTACAAAAACCAATTTCTATCTCTTCCAATCTCATTTCGACGAGATTTCATCTTTCTTTCTAAAAATTTACCTTTAGGGGCCGTTTGTTTTTTGGGAATGCAGATGTCCGATATCTTCACATGCCTGAAATTTCAGATGTCCGCAATTTTAGATCTCCGTATGATGGCCACGTTTGTTTTGTAGGAAAATATATAAGGATGTTCGGGAATATCTAGATAACAACGTTGTTTTGGAGGATTTATTCATGGAATGTTCTAAATTTATATAATGTTCCAAAAACGCCCTAACGAATATTCATATAATTTAGACATTAATCTAATATAATTTGCATTTATATAATAGATTTTCTTAAAATTAATTTAATATTTTAGGTTTTTTTATATTAATTTCGAATAATGTATTGATTTTTTATGTTATCACCTATTAGCTAGAATTCATATTAATATAAGATTTTTTTAAAAGTAATTAATATTAATATATATTTCATTTTCAACTTTAATATTTTTTTAAAAATACAATTATATAATTAATGTTATATAGGGTAAAATTCATTTATTATATTATCAAATTATATTCTTTTAAAAAGAAAAATATCAAAGGTATGAGGCCTTTTGGCGAAGCCAAGTCAATTTCGGGCCACCAAACCCTGCAACTGATGAGAAGGCCCTATGGAGTAAAGGGAAGCGTGTGCGTTGTCACACTCCCTGCCTTCCAAAGGTGCCTAGAGGACGGGCCAGACGCAGCAGAGCGACGACCCGGGAGCGGATTCCCCACCGGCAGGGGGACAGGAGACGGYCATCTCAAGGCACAGCACGACCTACAGGCAACACCGGCGAGACCTGGGAAGGCAACCCGATTGGGAGTCAGAGGATCCATAGTACCTGCAGCCCCACAGACTTCATATTCATCATTTTAGAAAGCGGGGGGAAGGGATCTCTTTTCTGCAACGGAAAAAAACGGAGCTGATTTGACTCGGCACAACCTAACGATGCATCCAATACCAATGATCTGTGCCTAGAATGCGTTGCTAGATCTCTGCTCTAGAAAAGGTAAGCTGATCAACATTTTTTCAAAACCCGGGTATCTTACATTACCACAAAACAAACGTGGAAATCCAGATGCCCGTCAGAATCTTAGATTCCCACAAAACAAACGGCCCCTTAGTTTTATCATTGAGCTATTTTTTAATTCAATAATGATAAAGTGAGGATCGAACATTAACCTTTAAGATAGGATGAGAACATATATTTAATTCAGTAGCTAGGTTGGAATTGACGATTAACCATGACCTTTATTAACCAATTTGGCAACCAAGAGTGATTGGTTTAATTTCCAAGATTGGATATTAAACATTTCTATTATGATTTAGTTTTTATTATTTCCTCATATTTGTATTTTACCATATATCTTTAATAGTTTACATTATTTCCTTAAATACTCTCTCCCTTGTCTTCATTTGAAGGCAAAATTTCAAAAACACCCCTAAACTATAAGGGTTATTATTGTTATACATTTGACTTTAAATTTGATGGATCATTCCCATACATTTATGAAATTATTAAAATTGAACCTTTAAATATATCAAGAGAAACAAACCACCCCTAAACGACTATAATAGTTTTAAATGATGGGTCAAGTTATCAATTTGGCATATATATATATATATATATATATATATATATATATATATATATATATATATTGTGTTGATTTAGTTCCTTCAAGTTTGTAACTCATGAATTTTATTACATAGTTTTAAATTATTAATTTTGTCTTAATTTTTTAATCAATATTACATCTCATTATTTAAAAAATACAAAATCTATGTTGGAGGTGATTTCTCATTGACCACATGGTGACTCTTAATATGATGATTATGATGACTAAGCATGAGAAGCTAGTATGAGAAAAGATTCTGGAAAAGATTCTCGCTTGAAGTTTATGCTTCCAGTCGAGCCGAGGTACATTTACTTATTTCAGTAGCTTGATGAATAGCCGCGCCAAACAGATGACACTTCTTCAAGAATAAGATCTCTGACATCTCCCACGACAACACGCCGTGATTCCCAAAACCTTAAAGAGTCGTTGGAGGCTTGTCGAACGTCCTGTCAACTCCCCCTATAAATAGAGATCTCCCGCCTCATTCCCAGATACGCGAATCTATATTCTCTCTCAGATGTAACTCGACCACTCACTTACTTGGACGTCATAGTGTTTTCTCTTTTGCAGGTCCCCTATTTGCTAGCACTTCAGCCCTCCAATTGAGTTAGCATATGTCCGAGCCAAGCTTTGCAGATTTAATCAAATTCTTGATCCAACCGTTTCTATTTTTACATTTCTCTTTCTTAGTTGTCAAATATTTAATGAGAGTGAAGACAAGATTTATTTGATAAACAGCCAAGTATTTTCCTTCTTCCCGTTAAAGCCACTGAGGACAAGGGTATCAATGAAACTTTTCAAATTTTAGGTATATTATTAAAACAAATTTATGGATATTTTGTATTATTTAAAACAAAATATTATTCTGAAAATTTGAAAACTGGTTCTATCCAAAAACCCACCAAATAAGCCCCTCCAAGCCCAAGGCTTTATCTTTTTATGATTAATTGAGCTACATAGATACATGTCAATTCAATTCAATTCAAATCAAACATTTGGGAAAATGAAGTCTTCTGGCAAAGCCAGTTTCAGACTTGAAATCATGTGCTTTTACAAGGAGCAGGTCATTTCAACCATTAACCACCCACTTGTCTCCCTCCCTCTTCAATTTTAGAGGCACAACAATCTGATGTTTCAAAGGCGAGAAACTAAAAATGTAAAGAGAATCACGAGAGAAAGCTTATGGTCCAAACAGTTTTTCTAACATGGCTTTATTTGATCTTGCTGCATTTTCGGGACTGCGAAGCAGCGAGGGTGATCGGGGAGAAACAGACGTCGTAATTTAGCCATAACAAAACTGTTGGCACTGCAACAGCTTGCAAGATTTTAAAATGGAAGTAGAACTCAGTTTGTTTTGTTATGTTCAGTGATCAAGCAGAAGAAGAACAAGGCATAATTTGTGAAGAACACAATGGGATTTTTATTCACAACCCCACAAACAAATCCACTGACACAAGATCATGAAAACAACCATTATTGTCACGCCAACAAATTGTAAGAATACAAATCGAATTCTTAAAATGCCAAAACAGAGATCTTACAGAGCCAAAGAGAGAAGATTGGAGCTTCCACCTGTCGAAACGCCGGCGACCGTGGAAGAAGAAGAACAAGAGGAAGATGAAGTTTCAGAATCGCCATTAATGGCGCCGATTCCGGCGAGAAACCAAAGCTCCGATAGGTAATTTCGAGCAGCCCTGTCCGAATTGTTCTTGTGGAAAGATCGCGAGTCGTACGATCCATTTACAGAGTTTGTTCGATGAATTATGTCTCTGTAGTCTGTGTAATGTAATGAATCGTGAATTTGCACAGCAGCAATTTGAGGGTTTAGGGATGATAATTGCTGAAGATGAACTCTGTTCTCTGTTCTCACTCTCATCAGACCGAAAAACCCTAAAAAAATTCTAGCAATTTCCAAACCCTAAACCTCAAAAAATTGAAATTATTGATAAGGAACCCTAGAAATCCTACATTTCCACTAAATTTAAATTAAATTACCTTTTAGCTCCACACAAGAAAGCAATTGACACACACATATTTGTACAAATACGAATCATCCCCACCATGGCAACGCATCTGAATCTGCAGCTTCTAAAATTCATTAGCGAGGGTCATCTTCCCGCCGGCCGGAGCTTCCGCCGGACAAAGAAGCCAGCAAATTCAGATGTCCGGGAAGGT